ATTTTAGGGTTAAATTTTTTTTCTGATCTTAGGATGAAAAAACATGCTGTAGTATTGTCTGAGCTAAATGACATAGTTTAGGATGTTAAAAATGTCATATTTTAGCGCAAAAAAAAAAAAATCTTATTTTAGTCCAGAAAAAAAAATGACATAGTATACTATGATCAAAATTTCCGATTTTAGGGTAAAAAAAAAAATTCAGGTTTTAGAATGAAAAAACATGCCATGGTATTGTCTGATCAAAATGACATAGTATAGGATGTTAAAAATATCCTATTTTTGCTGGGAAAAAAAATTATATTTCCGTCCGAAAGAAAAAAAACGACATAGTATACTAAAATTGTAATATTTGAGCGTGAAAAACAAGCTGATATTTTAGTATGAAAAAAAATATACTATAAATTGATAAAAATGTCATAGTATAGTATGTTAAAAAACTCACGATAGTATTACAAAATTCATATTTTAGTATGAAAAAAGAAGTCATAGTATAGTATGTTAAAAATTTCAGTACATTATAATAAAAATTTCCTATTTTATTTTGAAAAAAAAAAGTCATAGTATAGTGTGAAAAAATGTCATAGTATAGTATGTTAAAAATTTCAAATTTTAGTATGAAAAAAAATCTTAATTTGGTATAAAAAAAATGTCAAAGTATAGTATTTTAAAATGTCATATTTCAGTGTGAAAAAAAAAATCATATTTGATTATGAAAAACTTTAACCTACAATATGAACCCTAAATATGAAGAGTAAATCAGTCAAGATGAAACCCAATATGAGAGATAAATGTCAAATACAAACTCGAAATGATCCCAGAGACACACTTAACATTTATAAAAGGCTTAATTTATTACACAAGTCTAGTAGAACAACATAGCAAATTACATATTATACACAGCAAAAAAAACAAACAAGTATTTATACATTTAAGAGTAGTTTGTTGTTGGAACAAATGGAACATTATATCAAAAGAAAGACTGTATAAAACATTAAAAAAAAGGCACCAGTAATTCCTACAAACCCTGTTTCAAACACTTTTTTTTGACACTGAAAAACTGTTGTATCACACGTTTCTTCCTGTATACGTCTTTTCTCTCTTCTCACATTTTCAAACATCCTTCAATATTCTTATAAAGAAGTTGTCACCAAAAGAAAAAAAAAAAAAGTGCTGTGGTATTTTATTTTCCTGAAAATTACGTCCTGCATTGAGGTTCAGCAGTAACAGTGATCCGGTCTGGTGTTTTTTTTCTTTTCTTTTTTGCCGCTCAGAAAAGGTAATTTGGTCAAATTTGACTTAAAAATATTGATATAAGAGTTTTTGATGTGTAGGCCTCAGGAACTCTGACAGCTCACAGCATTACAAGCACTGAATGAATTAGATGACCTTAAAATTCAGCAGAGGAGGAGTAAATGAGTTCCAGGCTATTTTAGGTGGATGGAAAAAATCCACATCAGAGTCCAGTAATAATGTAATTCCAAGAATCAACAGGGTCGAAGTGAGGAGCTGTAAGATGATGACTGAAGAGAAAATATCAATCGATCGAAGCAGAGTCAGGTGGAAACCACAGTGTGGGCAAATACTGAGACACTAACGACGAAGTGACTCCTCGACTCTGAACGCTAACCTTGAAAACATCTTAACCAACTCCTCTGCTCTCTATAAATCTCTGTGTTTGTGTGCTAAGTGTGTGTGTGTGTTTGTGTGCTCTTTGTGATTCTACACCTTCTCTTTGCGTCCAGCTTTTCTACGTCAGCGTCCAACCTGGAGCTGCGACACACCGCCTCCCCATTCTACGACATACGGTTTCCCTCCTATTCAACGCCATACCGAAACGCTAAAAGACGTTTGTTTGTCTGTGAGAGTGGCTGTTAGGTGTGTGTGTGTTTACAGATTACTGATATTACAGGTGAAATTAAGTGTATATATGTGCCGTGAATGAGTGCTATTAAACGTATTTATACAGTTTGAGCCTTCCATGTGTTTGTCAAGTAAAAGGAGTGGAGTTAAAATCTGTACCTGCAGTTTGTTCGAGCTGAAACGGAGATGTTGATCAATGTAAGACTGTCTCTGTTATAACGGCTCACACAGTATTTAGTGCTACTTAAGGCTGCTCTGAATATATTATTAATAAAATACCTCATTAATGCACCAATTTGGTTCTAGTTTGCCCAAAAAACATAAACAAACGGTCCACTTTTTGGAGTTTTCAGCATTTTCGTGATCAGGGATTTAACCTTTTTGATCAAACTCAATTATTTCTTCACAAATTAGGTCAAAAAGGGAATATGAAAAATGCCCATCACAGTTTACTAGAGGTCAGACTGATGTAAATTTACCAACCAGCCACAGCATTATAAACACCAGAGCAATGTAATGAAATTTATTTTAAAATTTATGTTAAAATAGACAAACAGGTGGTTATTTATTATTGAAGTTATAGAGTGTGTTGCAGGTGTCCTGAGGTGCATTAGGTGCATTTTATCTAAAGGAGTTTATTATCCTACGTTTGTCAAAATGGACAAAACATTAGGGACATCTTTAGTTCTATGCTCCAGTACACCTCCACATTATTATAATCCTCCGTCTGTGTTATATAGAAAACTCCATGACAACTGTTGTTATTTCTGCATAATGAGCATCGCTAGGGGGGCAAGCAGGCAGAAAGTAGCTCCAGCGCATAATTTAATTCCTGTTTGATGAGGCAAAGACGTTGATATCAGTTACAATTATTGCAGTAAATATGTTACTTTTCGTTAACATGCCAAATTGGGTGGCTTCGTAACATAGATGTCTTAGCTAACACGGGATCATGTCCTGCAATCCAGGCAAAGGTGAGAACATCTCTAAGTTACAGAACACTACGCAGAAAAACCTGATTTATTTTAAAGACTGCAAAGCGTCAAAATTACACGCATATATTCCTGACAGACGTAACCGTTGACGGAAATATTCAACATAACGTAAATCTACATGTTCCCGTCAGACCTGTTTATTTCGTCAAACACGACTTTATGGTAGAAATATGTAGTTAAATGATGATTATATTAGCACACTAAACTTTTGACATGACGGTTAATTTGAACGCTTATGTTGACGTTAGTTTGCGGTGTACAGAGGATTATAATCAGTTGCCATGGTTGCGCTACCAACCGTTGAATCAGAGGGACTATTTTTTAGATTTGTAAATATCTAGCTTTCAAATGAATGAAATCAACATTACGTGTCAATACATTAATAACTTATAGTCGGTAATCAGCGGGACAATATGTGGTGAACAGAAAGTTCAGGTAGTTATGGAAACGAGAATCCTGATGGGGAAAAACTGAACCCCTTTAATTATTCTTCAGATAATAAATAGAAGAGTTTAATAATCACCTGTTTGCTAATTTCATCAAAAACTTAAAATTTAGGAGCTTTCTGAGAGCAGAATTTACAACAGCTGTGGCAACACACTGCTCAGGTGTTCCTAATGTTATGGCTGGTAGACAGGAATTAATGCACATTCGAGGGGCTTGATCTCCTGATATATAACTTTACCAATTAACAAAAAGTTCTGTCTCTTAACTTCAGATATAAATGATCTTTTCAATCCGACTGAAGGGCGGTATTTTCTGTAAAAAACACTTGAGGTCATATTGGAGTCGTATCTGCATTTTCCTCACTTGTCTGAAGAGAAAAAGTCCAAATTAACAGTCATTGTCTGCTGTAGAAGAGTGTAAAAAAGTACAGTATCAAACCTATTTTATTCAATTTCAAAAACTCTTGTTAAAGTAGTTAAGATGAGAGAGACATGGTTATTTTTTCTCTCTCTAAAGTAGAAAAAAACACTCATTTTAATTTTTGTTCACAAACCTAAAAACGACCAATAAATATCACAAACTTCTATAAATATACAAGACAGTTATAATTCAGTGGTAAATGTATAAAAGAGTTTTGTGGGTCAGTTAGAAATAAAACAATAAACAGAATATGAGGATGTTTGTTATACTGTACTGGCTCCAAATACTGCAGCAGCACCAGACTCCAATGAGAATACAAGCCAAAATTATAATTTACACACTTTCCTCTTAATATTTCTTAGTTCAAACACAAGTGTTTAAATCTGAAACATGCAAATGCCTTTAAAATTATTCATTTTTTAAAGTGTGAGGGGATTATAAGTGCTATAGGATATAAGGAAAAATGCTCAGAATAGACTTATTATAGACAATAATAAGTGATGGAAGAACAAGAGAAGAATGGAGCCATTTTCTCAGAACATAAAAATTGCTCAAGACCTTCAGGGGGCATGAGGCCACTATAGCGTTGCCGTGGAAACGCACTGTTATAAAAATGGTACCTGTCTTCTAATCACCTCCGCTGTGCTGCAACATTTTTTTCCTCCTGTTGAGGGCATATTGTTGGGTTCATAATAAGACAGGCAATCAGAAAAAAAGGGAAGCACACTGGTCTGCAAATCAATCCCAGCATGTGGAGCGTGAAGCACAGGAGAGCTCGAAACATAATCTGCATTAGACCCTGCAGAAAAACGACACAGGAAATCCAGAGAATAGGAGGAAGGAGATCAAGACCGAGTTTATAATCCCTGCAGACTGTGATTTAAGACGTTTCCAGTTTGAGATTTTAACTTGTATTTGTAGTAAATCTTCTGTAAACATTGTGAGTGAAATGCAGCTCTTTAAATAAAAGGCACTTTCTGGAGGAGTTGTGTTACGACAGCAGGCGTCCTTCAACCCAGAGCTTTTTTAAAAACGCACACCGATGAAACTCAGAAATAAATTAAACACATTTGTACACCGAAGACACGTTTCAGAATCTCTTAGCTCAATGTGACGTCTGGGTCCTCAGCCTCTGCGCGACAAACGAGGAAATACTTCAGAGACAAGCTGCAGCTACGAGCCTGTTTCCACATCTGTATCTCTGTTTCATAAAACTGAACGTGTTAAATCACCACAAACAAGTAGCTGGATGTTTAATGTTGGAGGGGAAACAAACTCTCACTGCTCCTTCCGCTCACATGCCGGCGTGTGCGTCTGGTTGGAGCCGGGGTGGCAGGGTTTCCACAGCAGCGGGGCGCTGAAGATGCCGATTATGCCCAGGTTCAAGACGAGGCTGACCACCAGCACGCCGATGGTTCCCAGGAACGACGGCGTCGTCCCGTGGGCCATGAGCCACGCCCTCCGTGACATCATATCCGCTATTACGCCCTCCATCTGGAAGTGAGTCCCCACCACGGCGCTGATGTGGAAGAGCTGGTGGCTGTGACCTGAAGGAGAAGATTCAGAGTGTGATGAGTTGATCAGGTGACACACAGATATTGACCCACAATGCACCAGGCTTTTCACCATTTTCTGCCTTTGGTTAACAAGCTGATCCTTTTTGCTATTACACCGAGGGTTGGGTATCGAGTCTCGAGCATCGATAGAGACCGGGACTAACATTTCAATTCTCCTGATTCGTTCAAATCTTAAAATTTTGATTCCAAGTTTCGAGGAACGAGGAAACTTCACTAACGAGGAAGATGCTGCTGAACACCGAACGAAGAAGAAGCATATGAGACGAAGCCACAGAGAGAGAAGAGAGAGAGAGTACATTGCAACCCACAGCAGCCTCTCACCTCTCCTAACATACCAGACTATCTGACCGGGGTTCATCTAAAGTAGACCGAACAGCTCGACTGTGAATGGGACCTCAAAACTTATCAACTCTGGATCTCTTTTCTGGCGGCAGTGCTCAACACTCGACCTTGAAGATGCAATGATAGACGGTGTTAAAAAAAGTGGATATAATGGAAAAATCCTGAAAACCGAATGAAAACAGGGTCAGAGAGGTCTTACAACAAAACCAGGAGCTGAGAGAGGCTCCGTCTGTCTGAACCACCGACTTCAAAACTCTTTGTCCGAGAACAAACACCGCGGCTCCTTCTTTTGGGCCGAGACACGTTTGAATCAAAGGTTCAGACTTTTTCAGATAACAAACCCAAACCTGATTGAGACCTTTCCCATGTAAATATCTCGACACAGGCAGAGAAGTTTGTGTAATTTAATATCGTATCACATGAAAGTCTGTTTGATTCAGGGCCATTGTTTAATCTGTATTGTTCTGCGGTGAAGACATGAAAGAAAAGACTTTAGACCTCAAATACTGAAGCTGCGGCACCATGTGGGAAAAAATGTGGCACTCTTTCTTCTTCTTCTGTTTTATCAACATCATGTGAACGTTAAGTCATGTAACAGTGAGTCAGAACTTATCACTTTCAATGAACGACGAACCGAAGTAGTCGAAGCGCCCTGGAGCCAACCTCTCCGGGAGGTGGGCCGTGAAGAGGAAGCAGGTGAGGAAAGCGAAGAGGAGGTGGTAACAGTGATTGGTCAAGGCTTCGCCTGGACTGCAGCTTCCTCCGCAGCAGCAGAGGAGGATCTACAGGCAGAAGAAAGAGAACAAAAGAGTCTGAGTTTACATCAGACATAGACAAGAAAACACAAGACAGACTCATCTTACATTGATTGAAATTATTCATGGACCGGTCTAATCTGTTATCAACACTCCTTGTTAGAGCAGAGTTCGCTGCATTTCTGACCCAGATCCAAACGTTTTTCCAACAAATGGTTTTTGTATCGCACAAACTAATCTCTCCACCGATTAAGGGAATTAATTGATGGCAGTGATACATTCCCATTAGATTAAGAAGGGAAATCAGTTTCTGGGTTAGTGAGCCAAAGACCCGCTCAAGGAATTAAAGCCCTGGTGCTAATCAGCTCCCAGTTCTTACATAACGACACAAATACACAGAAAAACAACTTATTTTAAAGACACTTTAGTTCACAGAGATGAAATGACTGCAGATTAAAGCAGAAATGTAGTACAAATGAAGACGTGAACACTCACCCTGTAAAACAGAGGAACAGTGTCAAATATGAACGGGACGATGAAGGCGCCGGTCCTCAGAGCTTTACTTCTCTGAGGAAACTGCAGCTCCAGAAACCTGAAGGACAGAAAGACAAAACATTTTATTCTTGGTAACATCAATATAATTCAGGTATTTTTAAAAAGTAAACGTTTGTTCGTTAAAAATCTAAATTCCGACAAACTAATCAGACTAAATGTAAGCGCAAACTTGCAAAACAGTCAATTGAGCACAATTTACTTAAGATGGATAACCACAGTACAGACTCTGTGGGTGTGGCTTAAGTTAGCAGAGCGAGCACCACCAGTTTCAGGTCCTCCCTGCAGGTTTAAACATTAAACATTAAAATCATCTCCTTCGTCTAGATCAAAATACTCCAGAACGACACCACCTTATAAGATGTTCAAGCTGTTTACGCCTGAGTAGTAGAGCTCCAACTGTCTCCACATACTGAGCGTGAGTAAAATCATTCGCGCGAATGAATTACATGTTAAGTCAATGCAAAGATGCGATTAGACGCTTCCACTACTCTGGCGGCGCGAATGACGCGAATTTGGCGTGAGCTAAAAATGTCTCAACATGAGTAGATAAATTATAAAAAATCTTTGTCTATCACTTGATCCCGCCGGTCGAATTGGCAGGATTACCGCTGAAATTAGCATACACGGCTATAAACGCGCGAATGAAGTGAGTAAACACTATTCATTCACGCGTCTAGATTCATGAGTAGATGATTTTACTTGGTGTGAGCGCCCCATCAGGCATTAAGGCAGATGTCACCGACCTGAACCAAGATTTAAACTAAATTTAAGGCCGACAACCATAAAAAACACGAAGCTGACGGAGTAGAAACATCTGAGAGGAATGAACAGAAAAAACAGACAGGTGACAGATATCAACTCAAAACATGTCAAGGAAATGTGACAAAGCCCGTTGTGCTCGGTGAATACGGTGAAAAAGAGCCAGTGTGTTTTCTGTGTCTGTAAATATTGGCAGCTGACAGAATGAGACCCGACAGGCACTTGAATTATTACCGGGGAAACTTTGTGAGTTTTGCCAGCAGGCCCTTTGGTTTTGTGAGAGCTGCATCAGTGAACAACAAAACACTCATTGCTTCATTTAAAGCTGCGGGCAGAACTGAAGAGAAGTGCAAGAAACCGCAAACTCCCTCTGGCAGTGATTGCACAAATATTTTCATTTTGTGTACTTTAGTGAAAAAGAAAAACACACTAGAGGCTGATGTGGCAACCTGACAAAGAAGTGTTAGTGTTCCTCCTTTTGCCCAGAACACAGTTTTAAAGTCGTGTATAGACTCATGTCGCTCGGTAAATGTTAAACAAAGTGGGAGTGATAAATGGAGATGAAATAAAAGAGGTTTTTTTTTTGTTTGCTGAATTGAAATGACTGAAAGAAAGAGAAATAAAAGCCCATGACCTTGTTGGTATATTAATGAATTTTGCACAGCCTTTATTGTTTTCATTTGGCTCAGAAAGGCGTCACTGACGTTTTTATCTGCAGGGGAAAGTTTGAGAACTGCTGCAGTGTCAAACAGTTTTAATGTCGTCAAACATGTTATTGTTTTACAAGTATATCATGCAAATACAATGCTGTTGCCTGGAGGTTAGACTGAAGTAGTTTCCTTGACATCTGTTTACAATCCTTTGCACCTGAAGGTCTAATCTTACAAAGAGACTGCATGTTCAGCCTCCTATAGTACGATCTGACTATATAAACTCTCTTCCTCTAACCGCGGGGATAACGTCGCTGAAGCCTCTCACCTGGAATAACAGGACAGACTGGTGCAGAAAAGAGTGTTTCCAACGGCGATGGGGACGAAATGCTGATGGAGCCAGCTGTTCACCAAACTGTCTGGTATGACATAGTTTCCATAGCTTATGGCGCAACCTGAACACAAACACAAACATAAACACAAACACAGAGCAACAATAAAGAGAGGTTATTGGTTTGGAGTCAAGTATGTACGGTCAAACAATTTAAAATACAGATTTTAACAACATTAGCCTCAAAGCTCTTCCTTCGTGCATGTTTTTAATTTCAGTTTTAAATATCTGAAGAAAAATTCGAATAAATTTGAGGTTATTTGGTTCCTTATAATGTGAAAAAACAATAAATTCATACTTATTCCTCTATCTATACTGTCACCCACTGCTTTGTGTATCTGCAGCAACACATCCTCTGTTTGGTGGTGAACACATACGATTAAATCGTGCATTTCCTGGATCAACCACTGGGAGTCGCCAAAGTTATAAATTCATTCATACCCTACACATCATGGTTTGTATGTTTGCTATAATTCAAAACATCTCATGAACTCTATCAGAGGATCTCCTGGTTTAATGTGATGATTTAAAGATGTATGATCTTAAGAAGCAGCACATATAGATGAGAGGTCACCTGCTCACCTCTCCCCACATCTCTGCGTCTGCACGCTTTAAACTGTGATTTTACTCCCCCTCCCTCTGAACACCATAAACAGGCCAAGTTTCGGCTCTAAGCAGCTTTGGGGTAGATTAAAGATCAGCCTGTCGGGGACCACACAGTTTGTGGAGGGAACTCGAGTTCAAGTTTGTAAATATTTGACTGCTGGTCTGCAGGTGTGATCTTATAGACGGACATAATGAGCAACGCAGTAAAGACGGACAGCAGACTGAACAACCTGAAACACAAACACCCTGAGTGAGCTGACCAGTTATACCGTAGGCTCAGTTAGAAAAGCAGATTTGCATTCCTAAAGGACATTAAAATACTGGTTTGAATATAATTTGAAAACGTATTTATCCGAATGCAAATGTGAGGTGTGACATGAGACTGAAATAACACATCCTCTTTTCATCCACACGCTAGCAGAACAATATGATGTTGTATCTCGCTGCTTTTTAAGGATGAAATAAACAAAACAAAATACTAACTACTGAAGAAGTCACAAAAAACGACAAGTGACAAAGATCTGGGGTTAAATGTGACTTATGCACCGAACCTTTGGGAAATAAATGAGATAACGATGAATATATTCAGCTTCTGAGTGTCTGCACTGATACATTTTGTTTCACTAACTTTTAAAACTCAATAATTATTCCAAATAGACATAAAAAACTACAAATAGGCCAAATGCAGCAGGTAGGAATGTTTTGTTCAGTTCAACTCTGTAACAGCCTGAAATCATCCCTCACTCTGAACTCTCTCTGCACAACAGAGTGTACTTGTAGGACTCTCCTGAAGTCTCACCCAGACTGTAGAGGCTGAGCGCTCCGTAATCAAAGAAGTAGCAGATGTGTCGGGACTCCGGGGACATGGTGCTGAAGGTGTGAGCACAGCTGGAGGTGAAGGGGTAGATGCAGATGAGCAGCATGTACACCAGCAGGGGCCAGGTGTAGCTGTCGGTCAGGAAGTTGAGGGTGGAGCAGAGGACGCAGAAACGCCACAGGAAGTACCTGCAGAGCATCGCCGGGTCATATTTCAGAGTCTTCACAACAACAGAGTCATCGTTCAAACTTTGACTGTCCCACTTCACAGACCTGTTAAACTCAGACTCTTCTTGTGTTTAAAGCTTATCGTAGATTTTTAAAGATCCTGATCTAACTTTTTCCCACCTTTCTGACGGTATTTCATCCCCCGGTTTATTATTTCTACGGCGTACTGAGAGTTTAAGGAATCCCCTCTCAGAAACTAAACAGAGATTTCCATAACTCTGCTGATCTGTTCAAACTCTGCTCTGCTTTTACAGCTGGACTTACTGAAGAGCCTTAAATTTACAGCCAGGTTTTGTTTGGAGAAGATGACTGGATTTACTCCGGTCTCAGTCATAATGTTGACTTTTATTTATAGAAGGATTCAGAGAAAATATATGGATTATAGTCATAGTTTGGAGATACTTTTCTGCATTGATAAATTAATAAACTACTATTAAGCAACAACTCACCATGTTGGCAGGAAGTGGGTCCAGATGTTGACGGTCTCATTGTTCATCTGGAAGCTGCTGAGGACGCAGTCCAGCGCTGAGCTCCGGGGGTGACGGTATCCAGAGATGATGCTGTCCTCCCTGAAAACCTGCGGACGGAAACGGAGAGTCCAGGTGAGAAACTAAAAAACCTGAAAACCGTGAAGAACCAGAGGAGGCATCTCTGGACCGTGAAATGTTTTATTAAACAAAAGCACTTTGTTTTGGTGGAACATGATTAATACTCATAACATTTAGGGTATTTTGATGTTTAATTGTTGAAAGAAAAACTTAAAGCTTCGGGTGACTCCTTCTAAGATTTGTCAGCACTCAGACTGAGATCAGCTGACTTCAGCAGTTTACACCCGACATGTTTAATGTTACAGAACGCTGATTCTTACACAAAGACGGCAGAAAAACCTGTTTCCTTTGACCCAAATGCACAATGATGTGAAGACAAACAAAGATGACGATGCAAATATTTTCCTCAGATGTCAACTTGAGGATTCAAACATGCTGTCGTCGAGGTTTCAGCCATGAACTGTCCGAGAAGAGCTGCATATTTTTTCATTATTTACTTTCTGGGCGAGAACAGCCTCTTACATAACTCAGTGAGACAGAGAGAAAGAAACACGTCCTAACTTTATCACCTGTTTTATCTCCAGATTAAACTTTCAGTTCAGGGAGAAACCCTTTAACCACAGAGACCTGATGTGTTTTAAACTTGTTTAGTTAATCTCTCTCACACACAGAAACTCCAATATTTTAACACCAATGAAAGCAGATGAGGGTCACCAGAACTGAAACTGTTGGCTGCAGACTGTGACGCTGAACTATTACAACAAGGACTGTTTATTATCATCACAACAGATAAGGTCGCAGCAGCGGACAGAGCTGTGGACGTCTGCCAACACAGATGCTTGAACTGCAGGAATCCGCCTCCTGTTGAAGGACAAACCATCAGCAAACAAACACACAGAAGCAAACATACACACACTATCTGTGCTGCTCGGTCACACATGACAGGCGTGTTTTTAACCCGTATGAGGAAGATTTCTTGTTCCCGTTTTTTATTATCAGATCTGGTCACAGTCTACTCATGAATCCATTAGTAAAGAAACTAACTGTGAATCCATTAATTAACTTCAGAGTCAACAGAAGTTGTCATTAACCTCCTCAAAGTTTTAATCTGCCTCCCTGCCCCCATGATCCTAGTCCTGTTAAAGATTTAACCCAAACAAAGCCATGGGTTACTCTACATAAACGGTCTGTTCCTTCTCATTTCGTCGGCAATCCATTTTACTATCTAAGACTACAGCTTGGATTAAGGCCTCTCCAGGTGTACTCATCCTGTCCCTTGACTTTTCAGACATACGTAGACACACACACACCTGCCGTAGCGCCCTCTGGATGCTGCTGCGGATGTTTTGCTGCCGTGGACCTGCCTGCTTTGTGCACCCATCTCCCTCTATCCCCTCTCTTAACCCAGTGCAGTAGCTTAAACACCTTCTTGAAGTAATACAGTCAGTCTAGGAATAATTTAGCTTGAAGATACCAAATGTGTCCAGTCAAAATCCAGTCCTGCCTCTTAGCGTGCAAGTTAGAGTATAAACAATGGTAAAATATGGTGAGGGAATCCTTAATTCCTTAATTTCTATCCTTACATTAAGACCCACAAACTTGGACTGGGTGATTATATGATCGTGATTAATAATTTCAGTTTGATCACAGTGATCAGCTGTGAGCATATTTACTCGATCAAACATGGCCGAAATATGCGTCACAACAGCCAATCAGAGTCGAGCTTTTCCTGCTCACTTCTGTAAGTTGCCGTAGAAGTAAACAGGAGAAGTAAACAGAATGACGGAACATGGAGCCGAACGCGGAGCTGAGGGCAGCAAAATAGATGTCAGCCGTGACTTTGAGTCATCCTCTGAAGATGTTATTGCTGAGAAACGTTATTTAACATTGATTGTGTGACGGTCGTTCGGGTATCTCCAAAGTGACGTTGAGCAATTAAGCCGATGTGTAAGGTATGTCGGCAGTCAGTGTCCTAAAAAACTGACAACACAACAGATCTGTTTAATCATCTGAGGAAGTTCTTCTCACTGCTGACGGCACAAGTAGCATTAGCAGTTAAGCCACAACTCACTGTGCAGCCACCAGACCAAAGCAATCAATCGTATCATCTACGTTTACATCATCTAATGTTTACATTTTAGGGCGTCTTCATCATCTCTGAGGGGGAAATTTCTTTATTTTGGGTCCTGCATACCTGCAAAAATACTCAGGACTAAAAAAATCGTGATAATAATCGAGATCATTATAATGATAATAATAATAACATTTTTGGCCAAATCACTCAATCCTTGTTTAAATGCCATATGAGACACTTTGACTTTATGTTGAATTGGTATTAAAAAAAGCATGATGGTGCAGAGTGATCTGAATGCTGCCTTAACTTTTCTGTAAGAGCAACAGTCTGACACTCAGCCTGTGTTAATCTAGAGTTCATCTAAACATCCAAAAGATAAACTCATCACACAAAGATTAAATCAAACTCATGTTTTATCGTTTTTCATCTTGTCCACAGCTGTGAAAACTCTTTGTGTTTGTGAAATATGAGCTCCCCCCCGAGGAGTTGCTCTGTCTACTGTTCATGTTCGGTCACGTCTGCGCAGACTGCTCTGACAGATTCCTGGCATTACTGTAGGAGGCTGCTGTACAGTACTGAAGAAAAGTAAAGCATTCACGACATAAACAATGACAGAGACAGAGGAGAGGAGAGGAGAGGAGAGGAGAGAAGAGGGGAGGAGAGGAGAGGAGAGGAGAGGAGAGGAGAGGAGAGGAGAGGAGAGAAGAGGGGAGGAGAGGAGAGGAGAGCAGCTTCTCCAGAACCATCAAGCTTCTGATTGTCTTGGCTGGATGCAGTAATGAACAGAAATAAACTGATAATGATGTCAATTAATGTCATTTTGAAACAATCAGCACCAGCCAGTTTAAGATAATGATCTAAATATGTCTGCAGACACTTCCTTCAGTCATCTGACACACGGTTTATAAGCAGGTATGCAATGGGACTGAATTAAGTTATCATTTTTGCAAACTCAGATCGGCTGTTCAGCTTTTATATTTGACTAAAATAACCAAATAAAGTCGTGTTTTTGTGTTTTTTTACATCTTCACTCTCACTGCTTCTACTGGTTCTGAGTTATTGCCCAGCAAATTCAGAGGCTGCACAATCAATCATAATTTCAGAGTTATTGCATTATGAATATCCACTATAAACACACCAAAAGATCTCAATTTATCACAATAAATAAGATTTTGGTATAATTGCCATGCCTTCACGTCACTTTGATGCAGAAAAATGAACCTTAGCAAGCTTTCAGACAACCGAAGATTAACTTCAGCTTAATTTAGCGTGGGGAAAAATGACCTTTCTGGATTTATTTTGGATCTAAGAGCGGTCGTATTGTTTCAAGCATGAGCTATAGCTGAGATGCACCTTTTATATTTATTTAATCATTGCAGCATGTTTTTTTTTTTTTTTGCATCCTGCAGCTCTGCAAACAAACATCAAATATCAATTTCTCAAATTAATTCAGTGATTTTTGAGCACCTGTCCCAAAGAGCAGAGAGTGAACATCCTGAACTGAGAGGTCGGTAAACTTGGAAGTAAAACAGCAGGTTAAAATCCTGCAGGACGACTGAAAACACTTCAAACCCTGCAGAGAAGTTTCTTCCGTCCTTACCTTTGGGACCTGGTGGATGTCAAAGAGCTCGGGAAGCTTGATGCTGAGCATGTCTGTCGGCAGTCGGATGGCCCCCCTCCCTCTCTGACAGACCTCCCTCAGCCTGGCTTGTCCCCCACGGCAGAGGACAACCCAGACGGGGTAGTCAAACACCGGGATCCGGACCCTCTGTCCCAGACTGTCCGGCTCCCATCGCAAGCAGCGTCCCCAGCCTTGGCTCCACCCACCTGCGACGCCGCTACTGGCCCCGATCCCCCGCCACACTGGAAACACTGCAGAGACACACGATAAACACACGTGATTAGACGACAAGTGAACAGAGAAAAACTTTGATTGTTCAATGAGTCCTGAAGGTCGTTTCTTTGTTATCTTTGCTTATCCAGATAATTCAGAAAACAGATCAAACCGAACTTAAGACAGTTAATCCAAGGGCCGATAAAAGTGTAAAAAAGTTGTCAGACATCATTAAACTTTAAAAATACACCACTTATGTATTAAAATTGCTTTTCGGGTTTTCAAAAACCTTCAAGTTTACATCTTATCACCACTTTTAGGTAACTAGGACCACTGAATGTTTGATATGACACTTAAAGGATCACCAAACCAACACCGATAATCAAACTAGTTTCAGTTTAGTTGTTTTATTCATTGATTAATAAATGAATGGATTAATTATGACAGTTTAACTTTGCTTTTTCAGGCTCAAGAGTCTGCTCTCTGGAGGCCTTCTCTCCAACCTTCTCTCTTGGACTCTAACGGTGATTATCAGGTTAAAAACAGACACCCAGAGATGCAGCCGTACTCCTATTTAAGTAAAAGTCCATCAGCTTTATCTTCATAGTGACGTTTAAAGGATGAGTGATTTATCGGTGATAAAGTTTATATGTCAGAGTCCTCGAGCGTTGATGTCTTTGTTAGCTGGGGCAGACACTGAGCACAATCTCTTATTGTGTCTCCTCTTGAGACAAACACGGACATCGATTTGAAGAATGTGAGGCATTGTCACACTGCGAGAGCCTGTGACTGAAAGTATGCATGTCATAACCGCATGTCTGTGACAGCCCTAATGCACAGAACAATCTTCCTCTGTGAACTGGAATTAAACATGTTTTTACTCCACAGATCTGCAGCATCTTTGCAACAACAAACAACAGACAAAACGATGAGATTTCTAACAAGGTTCACAAATGTGCAGATGTGCAGATAATCAGTAAATAAGCAAAAAGGCCGAATCTAAACCTGTTTGATTTGTCCTTCATGGGCAGCTGTAGATCCTTGTTTTTTTCAGGTGATTTCTGCAGATGCATTCGTGCATTTCTGCCAATAAATTTTCACAAATTTGGCGTAATTATCCTCTACGAGAACTTTGTGATCAATCACAGGCCAGAGCTGTCACACCACTAAAACTTTCCATGTGTGGTTAACCTGCCTGAGTTCGTACGGTTCCTCCAGAACTGTCAGGTTGAAACATATTCTGGCATGTCTTCAGTCATTTTAGCGTGTTCCTTTAGGCGAGGGGCTTTTCTGTAGCAGTGAGGGAGCGCGGGAGCAACGAGAGGGGACCTCGGCTTACTGCAGCCCAGCTGCAGGCCCCGGCCTGTTCGCTGTGACAAAGTGAGCTTTGTGGAGGCTGAAGCTTTGAGAGTACGGGGGCCAAAGGATGACTGTTACACGCTGCTCTGGATGGAAATGAGGCTCCACTCCACACACTCTAAGGCACACACACACACACACACACACACACACACACACACACACACACACACACACATGCATGTACACACACTGGTACAGATCCTGCATTCATCACAGCAGGAAAACATAACACAATCACAACACACACAGAAGACCACAGCAGGATGACAACGGCTGAGAAAAGTCACCGAGTTCAGCTGCAGAGGGAAGAAACTGAAACTCATTTGAATTCAGATCATTAACATCATGTGCTGCAAATAATTTAAACACCCAATTTAGCGTCCAGACGAGAGGCCGACAGCAGCTGTGAGCGTGTGCAGCAGTTGTACTGTAGAGAAAATGACCCACTTTGGTTGGTGATAGGACATGAAAACTTAGTTTCCCTTTGGTTCTTGTTACAGAGCTGCTCACACAGGTTTGATCGAACCTGCACCGCTCCAGTCCGTCACTGTCGACCTTCTACTATTCATGCAGAGAAAAGCTTCAACCAAGAGAGACACAAAAATAGGACCAGGGGTGTCCCGATACAACTTTTTGACTTGAGATACGATACCGATATTGTACCTTCAATAATGACCGATATTGATCCGATATTGGCACAAAATTGTGCATGACAAGTTTTTCACTCAGCTGCAACGTCTTTTTCAGACTTCCTTAGTACACACTTTTATTGTGATTCTGTGGGATCACCATGCTGGATCAGGACGCTGCTAGTTAGAGGTGCCGGAGCGGAGTCTGGAATGGACTGCTTGCATCAGAGTGCTGATATCGGAGATTTTAGATGCATACCAATATTACAGCTATTCGTTTTTTTTGCTGATATAGGATCGAAATTCAATATCAATATGGTATCAGGACACCCTTAAATAGGACTGAAGTTTCCAGTTTTAAAACATGTTGAAGACTTTAAAGGTAGTGTGTGAGGGTTGATGTAGATACGACAAAAAGCCATTACTAAGATGACTGATTAATCTGTCTATCTCAAGTCAAGATTGAAAATCCAGTATCATGCACTCTTTCTAAAAGGAGACCACAGCCTTCAAGATGCTATAAAGTTGGAGGAGATTTTCACAGTGGTCTCTGTCAGCTGCGTCTGAATGAGTCTAAACGAAGCAGAAAATTATTTCCCTGATCCTTACTTTCACTTTGAAACGACATCAGGAGACGCTTACACACTCTAGATGCTTCCTTTAGATTTCTGTGACCCCAGAACTGTGTCAGTGTGTCCTGTTAGAGTAAAGTCATGTGACGTTATAAGTTATACCAGCTCCACGAGTGAATACAAACTTATCTAACCCTAAGGGGAGAAATCAAAGTTAACGTACACACAAACCGCTCTGATTATTAAACATGAATCCAATCTGACCTCGGCTGAAGATCACTGGAAGAGTATCTGAGGTAATAGTCTGTGTTTACATAAAGCAGCAGACTGAAGACATGCTGTTCTGTCCTACTTTTAAGGTCACCTCCCTGACTCGATGCCTCCTCTGGGATCTGAAAAACTGCTGCCATTGTTGTTTGAGGAGAATAAGACTCCATAAACTTAAAATACACTTTCAGTCCAACCTCAGCTCAGCTCAGACAAGGGCCGCTTGTTTTTGGAGTAGTTTATTTAATCTCACATGCATCTTCCCGCTAAAGATAACATCGACACTCGGAGGCTGACTGCGGTTTTCTGGATATTTGTGGAAAAGTTATAACTCCTGCTGTAGTGAAGTTCAGACAGTCGCTGTTTACAGGGAACGAGTTATTCTAGGTAGTCAGGTCAGTAGAGACGATAAAAGATCTGTTTGTGTTATGTTAAGTTTGCCACAATATTTGCTTGATTACTTTTAAATGAGTATTTAGCTTTGCTTTGACGCCCAGGAGACATTGGGGAGAGTTAAAATGACTTTAACTTCTAAAGTTTGTTAATGAAGTTTCACTGTTCTTCTGTTAATCGCCTCTGGAGGTCGAGGAGCGTCAACCTTTTACCATCAACCAAAGGAAGTTGCAGGTTGGATTCAAACAGCTTCCATAAACGCGGTGCACGGCTGAATACTTTGCGTTTGTGTTTGCATCGCCACTCTGAGGTGTTGGAGTGTGTTTACCCTGCAAACACACGAAGAGAAAGCAGTTTAATGAAAAGCACGAAATCTTCACTGACTGCTCATCTGTGTCCTTCTGGTTTCACCTGTCAACTCTGCAGCAATCCTGTACATACCCTCTCACAACACTTCCTTCCTTTTGTTGTTCTCTTTTTCCACTTCTGAAATTCTTTCCCGCTCACTCGTGATGTCTTCATGTGACCTTTCTCAATGGACGTCTTTCTTGGTCGCGGGCTGACAATAGGGCGGCTATGCAGAGATTACACACGTGCCCTGTACGGCATGTATGTACAATATGCAAATCATGCAACAGAGCAGACCACAGTCCTGCTGAAACATGCTCAGATCAGGTGACAACAGTCCTCAAACATCCACAAAAGAGGAACGGATGATTCATGCACAAAGATCTTGAATTTTCTGTTTCATTATCTCCATGTTTTTTCTTTTAACTGTCATTTTTCAGCCTGTTCTGCTGACAACATAATCGTACCGTGTTTAATTTGTGGTTCACTACAAAGTTTTTTTTTGTCCTCCTGGATCCCTTAAGGGAACAGCCCAGAGAGGACAAGCCCAAACATGCTGCATACACCTTCATGTTCGCCTTTTCTGTTGGCAGGACTGGGAGCAATGCCATAAGAAGGTGTTTCTTACAAGTCTGATATATCTAAGTATTAGTCACCTAATAAGAAGCCTGCAGCTGTTTTAAGTAACAATACTGATGTTAAACCAACTGTCAGTTATAATCTTATGTAACTGTCGATGGTTGATCCTGAAAAGTGGGTTTTGTAACAGGTGAACGAGCCGACAAATGGAGTCTTAAATGAGCTTGAATTTGAAGTTTTGAGCTGATCGGGCTGAAGTAAATACTCATACCTCTTTATAAACTACGAAAGCATACAGACAATCATCATGGAGATGGACTATTCTAATATTAATCATAGATTAATATGTGCTAATGTGGGACTGGTTCCAGATAGAGTTATTAAAGACTAGTTTGTGCAAGAGAAACTGATAATGTTCGGTAATCTCAGCACAGATATGAGAGGCATTGATTTATCCGCCTTAAAGCAGGAGCTTCAAATGACTGACAGCCGAATAGTTAAATAATCTATAACACGATTAATAATCTGATTTTAAGTATTTTTGGGACGGTTAATCTAATCCCTTTTTTAAGAGGGAGAAAAAAGAACATAAGTTTTGATTTTCTTGGTTTGATTCATTAGACGCAAGCACAACCACGAGGAAGTCTGCTGATCTGACCCTTGTCCAGAAGACCATCACCAACACCCTCCAGAAAGAAATGGTGGATATTTTTAGGGATTTAAAACCTTTTAAGGTCATTTTAGAGAAACGTTACAATCAGTTGAGGTGCCGTATTCCTCATTTTTAAGAGCCAAAAGTCAAAACCAATAAAAGTAAAACGAAGAAGGCTTAAAAAGTTCTAATTTACATAAATTTAACTTTTTGAATCAAACCATCGTGAAAGAGATTTTCTCACAATATCTGAGTGTTTGTGTCGTCTTTGTTTTTGTTTTGTTTTCTCTTCCTCATTCATTCCCAGTTTTTTCCACCTTGAAGGCAAATTTACTTTAACTTGCATAATTACATTTTTTTCTGCTTTTAAGACTTTTTTTACCTAAAATTTTCCGAATCTTATTTAAAAGATCTTAAGACTTTTTAAGGATGCAGGGGAACCCTTTGTTTACCTCTTCATTGATCTATTTCTGATCTGAGCAAATGACTCCTTTTTATCCATTATATTTTAAAAAATAAGTTTGATTTTTTAATGAACTTATGAGAGCACAAAAAGTCAGAATATGATTAAAACAGTGGGTTTGGCACTTAGAAGTTTTTTATTTAACTACTTAAATTAATACCTGAACTGCTGAAAACACTGAATATTCGACAAAGTCACACTGCAGAAAAATCCACCTTCAGCACTTCTCCGCTGGTCTTAAATATTTGAGGTTACTTCAGTGTATGACTCTTTATCAGGGTCACTCTGCGAACGAGAACCTAGACTTAACCCTGTCACAAGGCGTGTTTTACATAACTTCCCCTCTCTTCTTTAAACGTTTAAGTTATGCTGGAATGTTTTTAAAAAAGGTGTCTCTCCACCCTGGTCAGCCCCTTTTCCTGGTAAGAGTCGACCACGAACATCAAACGCCCGAGAGGTTATGCAACACGGCCACTATGTGTTCTTACAATGGATAACAGAAAAGAAAAGTGTCACGTCCACAATATCAAAGAGGAAAACCTGTGAGCGTCTGAACAATATCTGAATTCTCTTTTTTATTCATCCTGGATCTATTTGTTGGGACAAAACAAGTCTTAACAAAAGCAAACAGTCAGTTCGTTCTTGTGGTCGCAGCTTGCATATGACCTAACACTCTTCAGAGGAATAAAAGGGGACGTGAAATCAAATCGAAACAGGGTTCAGACTGTGTTAAAGGTTCTATATTTTTAAAGTTACAGAAAAGCTTTAACTGGCTTATTTCAACTCTTAACCTTCATCCATTTTTACATGTTTGATATTCTCCTGCAACCCCCACCCCCTCTCTGCTTCAGTCCTTCACTACAGCACATGCACCTGACTGTCAACAGACTAGACCATTGTGAGTAAACAAGATCTCAGTGAGCTCAGAACTATGGCGAGAGAAATCTGTCAAATAACCTACGACAGGTCTTTCTAATGAGGGAATACAACTATAAAAAACCTTTTGTTTCTCAAGTTTACATCCACAACACAAACAAAGCCAGACCGTCATCCAACCTTTGGGGCTCATATTTGATATTTAGTAGATTATCTGTATCAGCAGCTTACTTTTTCATACAGATAGTGACTGTTACTGTGTAAAAGCATGAAGCTAAAGCCCACTACTGTACTTTGGCTCTGCTGCCTGGTGTGTCTGTCTGGGTCTGTTTTGTTTCCTCATGTCTCACCCACAACACTATCTAACATCAGACAGGTTTTTATTTGTACACAACAGTCACAGTATCTCAGTTTCAAAAATTGGTGACTATTAATTAATGAGATGCAAAACAAAACACACCTCAATCATGTTGATGAGGAACAAGTTTGCATTAATATGACTGTGCAAAGGTATGCAAAAGGCTTCTGTCTTAAACACACAACGTTATTTGCAGATATTCAACATAAATTATATCGTTAACCAATTTTTAAGACCCACTTTCTGCTTTTGAGCTAATTATGCAGCAGAACATGATGCAAACTATGGCATTAGGACAGGCTTTGTTGGACAATAACTTCATGATATACCGTAATTTTCGCACACTATAAGGCGCACTTAAAATCCTTTTGGCTTGTCGGAGCACTGCAGCTACCGTAGCCTTGCGGTGTTTATATTTATAATTTATAATCTGGTGCGCCTTATTTATAAAAATAGACACGTTCATTGATGGTGTGCCCTATAATCAGGTGCGCCTTAAAGTGCGAAAAATACGGTATGCTGATTCTGATAGTGAGAGAGCAGGTGAGCCAATGGCCCACATGATGCCATTAATCACCCTACTGATTGACTGATTGACTACCCTCTGAGCATTTATGGGTCTAAAAGAGGTCTAACAGACGTCCAAATGTAGCCTAGACGGCTGGTCTAAAATCAGGCTACCACAGGTCTAAAAATTAAAGTTTATAGATGTCTAAATTTAGACCAAGTCTAAATCTGGGCGATATCTTTACTGTTTATTGCTCAACGACTATCATTATTATTTTGGTTAAGTACTTGGAGATCAGTTATGTAACTCACAGTTGGTTTTTGAGATAAATAGTTATCGAATGATGGGTTAAAGTGCAACATCTAAAAATATGCAGACTCTAGACGGTTGAAATTAGGTCTTAAAAAAAACTAGATATCTGATAGCTGCTATTGCTCAGTGGGTAATTGGTTTATCTCCAATATGCTGTCATTGGCGATGGGAAAAATGTGTTTTTTATTTGGTGATATCAGTCCTGATGCCAAATATGTCAAAATGTAATTTGTTAGCTGGATTAATCCACTGACTGGTTATTTGGTTTCTCTCAAATAATCACCTGTTTTCTTCTTCATCAAGCGTGTATTTATTCTTACGTTAAAATTCAGAAAACCTTAATGATGATACGGGTCAACAATATTATTCAAAGTCCAATTACACTGATTCCCTGTGGCTGTTACTACCTCATTGTTTGTTCCACCATCAAATTGACCAATTGTTGAAGCTCTAAAATAGTATTTGTGTTTTTTTTCTCACACTCTGGTGAGAGACTCAATCATCTCAATTAAACTATAAATATGAACTCTCAGAGCTTGGAAAAGGGGGCGTCCATGTCCATGTGGAAAAATCCAAACATCACCAAGATGGAAAAATAGCTGGACCCATCTCCTACCAGAGCATTTTTCAACTGGACAAATCTCCAGAGCAACCCTTTAGGAAAACATGCAGGTCACATGCAGCCAATTCTCAGAATCACTCGGAATGTCTCGACTCTTTACTCCCATGTGTGTTTTTACTACAACAGTTTCCTCCATCTTTAAAGGTTTAACACGACTTTCGAGGATTTTCTCACGTTCGGCGGCAGAAAAAAAAACGGTTTTTCGCCGTTCATGACAATCAAAACATCCTCAACGGTAACGAGTACAAACTTCGCTTTAACACGAAGGAAAACATCACCGAAGAGCTTCAGTCTCACAAAGATTTGTAGTTTTTTCATCGACTCACCTCGACCCTCGGGCATGCGGAGGGTGAAGGGTTCCTCTCCGTCCAAACTCCGTTACAGAAAACACAGTTATAGTGAGTGACAGCCCGGAGGAGCTCGGATGTCCTCCCTTTCTCTCGCTCGGTTTTGTAATTGTGTCGAAGAAGAAGAAGAGTCCACACAGCCTCCCTTTTTTTCTCTTGTCCCGCGCGAGCCAGTAAGAAGCGCTGCTCGGTGCTCACGTGGATCACTGGAGCAACAACAACACGAGCCATGTGTTCAACGGCAGGGCGCGCGCTGCTTCTCTTACAAGACAGGAGTTAAAAGACCCGTGAAGACGTTGGCGGGAAGATAACCGAGAAAAACAATGGCGGAATTGCATAATATCTGTTTTTTTATCGGTCCCAGTTCTTTAAATTCTTCTATATTAAAAAAAATCCGAAAAAACTTGTTTTAATTTCTCATCTTTGTACATTTTATCTTACTGAATTTGAATATTTCGGTGTAAAATTAATTTAGGGTCAAACACACGTAACACCAAGTTAGACACCCCCTCAAGAGATGAATGTTGCCTTTGCTTCTCTAGTTATACCAACTTTAGGAAAGCAATACACAGAGACTCAAAGAGTGGCTGCTGGAAGAGAGTAGGTGAGTTGTGTTTAGATCTTTTTGCTAAAGAAATTAGTCAAAGTTAAAAAGATGTTTGGTGTCTAGTACTATGTCTGGGACCCTATATGTCCTGTTGATGAAGTTAGGTGCTGTTCTGAGCATTATTTGTGGCTATAGAGTGGTGTTTTGGTTGAGGTTTGTTTATGGCTCCTCAGACCGCTGTGTATTGCTATCGTTTGATCGTTCCTAAAGTTGGTAAAACTAGAGAAGCAAGCAGTCGACAAAATTCATCTCTCATCTCTCGAATATCCCTTTAAAGGTTCCTCAACAATGGCAATTTCAGACCAAATTCAGACCATGCTCCTACTTGAAGAGCAAGAGCATCTAGGTAGAAAACTGACTCTCTTGAACTGACAGCTAACCACACAGCTCCACATTTCCCCACTGTGATCTAGCAGCTACCCTAGCAAGCTAACTAACTAACTAACCATATGCAGCCATCAACCCAAAATTTGACAGTAATATCTAATGTGGTTTGATGAGTAGAAATGGAAACATTTCAGGGATATCTATCGATCAGATTCTTGATTGAAAGCTCTCTTGCTCACCCCTCCTATCAGTGAAGTCTTGCCGCAACTCTGATTCATTGTATAATCCTCTATTTGTCAAGATTTTACTGTAAAATGTCTGTTACCACAAACTCCAACCATCTGCATCTGCTAAAGTATTCCTTGTGATCAATTAAAGAGCTGTTTTGGTTTCAGTCTTGACCAAAGTGAGGGAAGAACCAACACTTCCACTGAGTCATAATGCTAACACATTAAAAATACATCCCAGTTATCCAACAGTGATGTCAGTCAGACATGATGTTTTAATTCAGGAAATTACGCAACATCACTCAGCAGAACTGACTCATTTCTTAGGGTTAAAAGAGGTCCAGTGGCCTTTGACTTACTTTTAAAATATCACATGACTGTAGTGAACATGAGTCGTCATGTGGACCTCAGAGGATACTCCTTTGTCCAAACCACCAGGGAGAACTTCCTGTACTGTTCTGAGTAGAATAAACATCCATTATGTTTCAGCACAACTATCTATCCGATCTCATCTCCACAAAGGTCATGTTTTTCTCATCATACGGGCAAAAAGAAAAACTAGAGCAGCATTACAAACACATAAAAGAACACAAAGATATTAAACTTTAACTTGTTGGGAACAAGCTCTAACAACGGAAGCACTTCATCAAAACTATTCAAACTATTCAGTTGAAGTCCAGCAGCCTCGAACCCTCCTTCAACCAAACCTCCATATTATCATCAGCTTCTCAAACTGATGACACACCCTAATAACCCTGAAACCAAAATCATTTCTGTGGTATATTAGTGTTCTTAAAATAGCTGGGCGTATCCCGTAAAAATCATAACTTTATAATCTCAGTGGGAAAATTTTAAGGGTTTGTAAGACAACAGTAAACTCCTCCCTTGTTTACAGCTTGTTGGAAAACTCAGCCGTGTCCAGAGATAAAGAAACAATGCTAAAATTCCCCGACCACAGTATGATGTTTGTACTGTTTGCTGTTCTGCTTGAATCCATCTGCATGTCTACTTTGCATGTCCCTCCTCCCTCCTCTGATATCATGTTTATCTTCTGTTGGCTAAATACTTCAGTGCGACAAGGACACAGCTGTGAACCTGTCAGATATTTAGCTGTCAGATATTCACAGGAAGAATCAGGGTGAAAACATCGGTGTTAACTGCTCTTTGCATACTTAAAATTGAGGTGTGTTTTGAATTATATTTGTTTAAACTCATGATATATTCTTATACTGCAAGCGTCTTTTTTTCCATTTTAAAAAATTGACATGCAAGTAAAGTTCATATTTATATAACACTATCAAAATGAGCAGTCACCAGTACGACTGAGAACAAGAAAGTACAGCAAACTTGAATACTCTGCAGCACACACCCATTCAGAATTCAGACTGTAATTATATTACATAACAGAATATTAGATTATAACTACTGCATTGTGGAATAATAAACTCACTGTTGGTTAGTGCTACCACAAGAGATTGGATTATTTAGACCACTTATAGATATCCCTATTTATAGCTACTAATTATATTCAGGGGTGGAAAGAGTACTTAGATATTTAACAGGAGTAAAAGTACACTAACTCTAATCACAATTTGAAGTAAACCACCTATCTGTTATTCTACTTCAGTAAAACTAAAAATTACTTTTTTAAATGTACTGAAAGTATCAAAGATTTACTTTTCACCCCTGAGTGGGAGTGTAATGAGAAAGTCATCATATTTTCATTTCACCTGAGTCGATATGAAGTTGAACTGAAGCTAACACTACACTGGCATCCTCCAGTTCAATGTCATATCGACTCAGGCACTACATGGTCTGACCAAACGACACACTGAGAAGTTTATGAAGTGAAATCAAACAATAACCTTTCTACGAACTTCTTTGCTCGTCTTCTGCATCGGCACTTTATTTTTGTGTCCTTAACTTCAGATGTGGCTTTTTTGTTGTGTTTAATTTTAATCTGCACTGTTTCTTTTTTTATTTGCAGTGGGCTTTGGTTTCTTTTAAGTAAGAAACAGTGGCAGCAGCAGTGGCAGTTTTTGGCCACCGTACACCATAAGATACAGTAGCATGAGTAATTGTTAAGGGTCATACATTAATCATGTTTATTAAATTTAAAAGACATAAAAAATTAGATGTTGAAAATAATCAGAAAATACATTCATTGTTTCTTAAGAACATTCATAACCCCAAACTGTTAAGTGGTTTAATTCAGAAGCAGACTAACAAAGTGGACTAAACCTCTTACATAAGGCGACATTAAACTTTTAGAGGGAGGTGTGATCATTAACAAGTGTGCAGAGGAGGAATAAATCAAGATAAATACAGTTATTGGTATAATTAATACTATTGTTAGTCTACTGTTCTCATGAACTCCAGACATGCGCAAACAAACAAACAGAGCTCGTGTCAGGATGCTCCGCTCAGACAGCGTGTATTCTAACTGCGTCACCGCACGCGACGACTCATATATGGTCTCGAGCATCAAGTTATGAGCGTGAAAAAAAAACACACGGCTGTAACATCCACGAGCGTTTCGGAAGTAGTTTTGGACTGAGGCTCGTTGTTTTCCTCTGAATGGGAGTGACTTACGGGAGAAAAGGCTCGGGGGTCTCTTTAGGAGGGGAAGGGGAGTGAGTAAACTGAAACTCCGGGCAGTTCCTAGAAAGACAGACGAACATTCAGCCTCAGTCTCTGCCTCTATGATGAAAACCTGCTGTCAAACAACCGCAGGTTCCAGGAGGACACACAGAAAACTGCTCTGACCTTTCAGCTTCACGGCTCCGATGGGATCATTGTGGGTTCAGAAGAGTCCAGGAGGAAAACAAGTGAAGAAATCTGTTATTAGAAAACTCACAAGTCCATCATTCCCCCTCTGTAGGCCCAGTCTCTATTGAACCAAACAGCCCCCTCCTCTTTTCCTCTGCACATTCCTGCAGAATAAAAACACTGCTGCACCCCCAGTGTTGAAATCCCACCCTCAGGGCTGAGCAGGGCTGAGGCTTTTTTTCCATTGGATGTGGCAAATATGGCAAGTTTTTCACCTCCAGTAGACAGGGCAGAGAGAGGAAGAGCCCCAGCTTCATTAATATTAAAGCAAACAGGAGTGGCATTCACTTTTAAACAAATGCATTGAGGTTTGCTGCATTAAATTGATGCTTAAAGGGATATTCCAGCGTAAAATTAAGTTAGGGTCAAACACACAATAACACTGAGTTAGACACCCCCTCCAGAGATGAATGTTGTCGACCGCTTGCTTCTCTAGTTTGACCAACTTTAGTAACGACCGCAGGATAGGAATACACAGCGGTCTGAGGAGCCATAAACAAACCTCAACCAAAACACCACTCTATAGCCACAAATGATGCTCAGAACAGCACCTAACTTTATCAACCTACTCTCTTCCAGCAGCCGCTTGTTTGCAGTGAGACCTCGGGGCAGAACATTATAGACTACAGCGGGGTGACACAGCTCAAGGAAGAACATTTATGATCATTTCTTTATCATTTCCTTGAAGTAATAATCACCATATTAATCCTTTTTCTCTGCAGACGCGGTAGTTCTTCTGCCTTAGCGTCTCAGTATGATTGTATTTCCATGAAGAAATGATCATAAATGTTCTTCCTTGAGCTGTGTCACCCCGCTACAAACAAGTGGCTGCTGGAAGAGAGTAGGTGAGTTGTGTTTAGTCTCTTTGCTTAAGAAATGAGTCAAAGTTAAAAAGATGTTTGGAGTCTAGTACTATGGCTGGGACCCTATATGTCCTGTTGATGAAGTTAGGTGCTGTTCGGAGCATTATTTGTGGCGTTTTGGTCGAGGTTTGTTTATGGCTCCTCAGACCGCTGTTTTGCTATCGTGTGGTCGTTACTTAAGTTGGTTTAACTAGAGAAGCGAGTGGTCAGCGACATTCATCTCTCGAGGAGGTGTCTAACTCGGTGTTAGAGTGTGTTTGACCCTAACTTAATTTTACGCTGGATTATCCCTATTAGTTCACATTTGAGACAAAACCCACCCTAAAAAGACAAAAGCTGAGAGGTTACTTACACATAAACTCCAGACGGGCGAGACATTTCCCCACAGCGAGCACCGACCCCTGCATGGACATCTCTCAGACAGATCACAGACGCTCAAACTAAGTTATAAATCAAAGTTATTAATTTCTTTAGAAGTTTAAACGTCTCATCCTGTCTCTGCAGCCCAATCCGTCCTCCACTGCAGTCCCACAGCTTCATGGACCCACAGAAAAAGAGAGGATGGACTCAGGTCAGCGAGGTTTTCACAACCCCCTTACCCAGCAGAATCTGGGCCAGCAGCACCAGTGCCAGTCGTCTTCTGTCGGGGTGGCGCGGACTGGGATGACTGGATTGGTCGCTTTGTGTGCTCAGTCACTGGTGGGCAGGGGGCCCGGGGCAGAGAGGGGGCTCAGGAGATGGACAAAAAAAAAAAAGAGAGACAGGCAAGGGAGACCTAGTTAGGGAGGAGAGGCATGTGAACAGAGATGACACGCGAGATGTTGGGAGGTCAGGTCAGGGTTAGATTTTAGAATCAGTTAAAGCAGGTTGAACAGATTTATTTTCAATCTATCTATACAGAAAATGGTGAAATTATATCTTTAAGCTTAGCAGAAATTTGTACCAATGCAGAATTATTAATGCAACATATGCTTATAGTTTACTAGATATACAGTGTAAAAACATCTTAAAGGGATATTCCAGTGTAAAATTAATTTAGGGTCAAACACCACGTCGAGAGATGAATGTTGCAGACCGCTTGCTTCTCTAGTTATACCAACTTCAGTCTCTTGATGCGGTGTCTAACTCGGTGTTACAGTGTGTTTGACCATAATTTAAAATTACGCCAGATTATCCCTTTAAGCATTCATAAAGTAGAAAAATATGCCTGTATTGCCTAGAAAACTGTTCAAGAACGGAGCCGAGTTCATCTTATACGAGTTTCTCTTTATTGTTCAATGCATGGCCACACACATATACTGGTTTTCTTTTGCACTGTGCAAGATGGGACAGTCACTATGGAGATGAAGTGTAGATGGGATACATTTTAGGAGTTTACAGGGGGTCAAACTAAAACCCACAATCCTCTGGGAGAGTCAGCCGCCTCCCTTCTCTTCTGAGCCTCACCGATGAGAAGCTGCGACATGACGAGGCGTAAAAGCCGCCGCCGCCGCCCCCCTTTTTCTCCATCTGACATGAAACCTTATTAAATAAATTCTGAATTTAAAGTTTTTTAAACTTTCAGTTCTGGAGGACTTGTTAAGTGGATCGACACACAACAACAAAGCCTTCCCTTTTCCTTAAACATTCTTGCATATTTCATTCACTTCCAGCTTACAAAACGCAAAATAAACATCATTTGGGTACAAAAATAAAATCCAAATTAAAACCTCAAACAGGGGAACACCTGTCGTGTGTTTTCTTTTTTTTCCTCATACAGAGAGAGCACAATACAGAAGTCACTGGTCACAAAAAGTACACCGCAAATGAAGAAAACCAAATGAAATCAAAATAAAAAAGCCACAGAGGAAAGAAACCAATCCTGGAGGAGAGTACTCTCGTCTTCCTCAAGCTTTCCTGGAGGTTTTGGAGCTGCTGTGAGATGCCTGGTTTGTTTGTTTTTTTTCTTTTTAAGGCGGGAAGCCTCAGGTGTCAGCTGGACAGAGTGAGTTTTCTCTGTCTCCAAGTTGTCGTCATACACCCTCGGCTCCCTAAAACGCAGCTCTAGCACACTCGCGCACTCTGAACCCTGTTTCTTAAATACAGACTGAGGGGAAAGGGGAGGAGGGGACAGAAACCACAGCTCTAAATATCTAAATGGATCATCTGAGCGTGAATGTGTTGATGTCTGTGTGCGGTTTCTCTCTCGACATGTAGGTACTCGTTTGCTAACATATACAGTGTATTCCTGGTTAGGATGTGAACCAGGGGCACTTGAAAACTTGTGTGGAGCGTTCCCTCACCGCTTCCTCACCCCGACCACTAGGGGTCACTCTTAATGTTTAGGAATGGGAGTGGGAGGTGGGGAGATCTGCTGTTTCTTATAGCGCCGTCGTTCGCCCGCATTTCTCTTTTCTGTTTATTTTTTTTCACTCCACTGTTTTATCTTTTCCACCCCTCTACTAGCGCTTTAACTCCTTCCTTCGGTTTAGCTTTCTTTTGAGTTGTTTTTTTTGCCTTTGGAGACGCAGATACACACAGAGCAAAAGAGTGGGAGAGAGAGAGGGAGCGAGTGTTGTGATCGATCAGCTGTTCGCAGCACCGACAGCTGCTCCTCTTTACGCTCTCAGCCGATTTCCTTCCACTGTCGGTAGAACTCCACAATGTTTTTCAGCTCCATGCCCGCCGAGCTCGCCGCCTGGATCGCCGTCTGACAGGAGAGAAGACAAAAGAGACTGTAAAAACTCATTTATGCTCCACGTCACCCCCGATTTCTACCGCATCCAGAGCGGCTACGAAAAGGCCGTATCTGCCGATCTTAGCTGATCGTAACCATCCAAGTTAACGTGTCAATTTTCACCGGCTTCTTTCCGTTCCTCTGCGGATCGCCGGACTCCATAGCTGATCACAAGAGTTTTATTTTTTCCGGACGCCGGAGCATGGCGGATAAATTCAGCACAGATTAACCCGTGCTGGAAAGGAAGTCGGGCACAGACACAAAATAAAACATCCGGCTTCTTTTCAAAATAAAACACTCCGTGTTTCAGGAGGATCGTATTTCACACCATGCAAACGGGCGGAGACGAACAAGTGAAAGGTTTTTAGACGTCATTTCACCCCGATGACACCATGGATGAGGAGATGCTGATTCTAGAAGTCTAGAAGTAGATTTCCTCCTCTGGAAGGACACAATCTACTGCTTATATGGTTAGCCTGTGTGGCCCAAACATGTCTCCGGGGTGTTTATGAAAATTTAGGGTGAAGTGTGCAGATTGACTCACTTCCCCGGCTAAAGAAGTTACAACGCTGCGCGAATCCAAATCCAATCAAAGAAAGACAAGTGAAGGAAATGTTTTCAAATGTTGTTTTTTATGAAGAGGAGAGTCTGACCTTCATCGCTGCAGACTGACTGCAAAGCTCCTCTACTTGTTGGCCGGTCAGGATGGTCACCATACCGGCTGTGTCTTCATCCCCGTTGCTTTGGGAGACTGTGAGCTGGCGGCAGCTGTCCACCATCTTGTACAAATGCCTAAAATATCAAAAAGAGGAGATATACAAATACAACTCAAACTTAATATACGAGTATTTTAGGGAAAAACAAGGTGACTGAAGAAGTCGTGAGAGGGTTACCAGGCTTCGATGTCCTGACGTTTCAGTTTATCTCTTTCAAAACTGCGACCTGACTCCTTCTGGCAGCGAATGTACCTGCAGAGAGAGGACAGTGATGAAGAAATTATCCAATAAGAGCCTTTAAGAGAGTAAAACCTGGACTTTAGGAGGCTATAAGTCCTTCTGTGATAAAACTTCCCACCTGTTGCCTTTACGAAACTCTGACTCCAGGAAGCGAATGCCGTCTCTCGCACCAGCATTCTCCTTTTTTAACCTGTCGAGTCCATCAATCACTGAAACACACAACAAGAACACATTATTGGAGTTAATGTACTTCAGGAAACTGTCTGTATTCTGCTTTTATATTTAATTCATACATAAGGGTAGCATTGAGTTCATTGTCTGTTAGTTGTCTGCACTTCAGGGAGGAGGCTCGGTTAAGATATGACGAGGAAATGACCTTAAACTGCCAGATTGAGTGACTTTATGGAGAAACCAGTATGGAGGGAGTCTCCTGTTAACGGCGGCCTGTAGAGGGCAGCACCAATACTAAAGTTTACCACGTTTACTCTGTCAAAACCACAGGGCTTCTCTTTCACATCATAAACTTTCTTGCTTCATATCTGAGTCAGGCATTTCAAAACTAATGAGCTCAGGGCTGGAAGTTCAAACTAACAAATCTGTTCACTGTTTTGTTTTAATATTTGTTGGTCTAATTAATAACTAAATATTGATAAATACACGTTAAAAGCTCCAAGAGTCCAGACTGACTCCTTTAAGTTGAACAAATGCTCCTAAAATGAGACAAAATCTGAAACTCTGCCCACTTCAGGGCTGAGAACAGCATCTGCAGTATTTCTCTTAGTCAGACAGAAAGCGCACCGACCTGTCCGAGGGATGATGATGATGAAGCAGCCGCTGCCGGCCAACTGTCTGATGAGGTTCAGATGCTGGCAGAGAGCGGCTGTGTCTGGAACCAGGTAGGGAGACATGGAGGACTGAGCTTTAGGCTGCTGAAGGCTGCCCTCTAGCTGTGACACCTCCAACTGCAGGGAAGAGACGTTTAAATGATGACTATTTCAGGGTTTCTGCAGCTTTAGCACAAAAATCAGAAAGTTTAATAGAATTTTTAGTTCAGTTTTAGGTGTAAATTCAAACATTATTCCTCAAACAGTAGAATAAATAGCTATAATATATATGTATTTATAATTTCAGCCACTTTCCATGTAAGAAATGTAAGAAAAAAACATCAATTTTACTTTTTAAAACCCGTCCAACCCCACTGAGAGGAAAAATATTAAAAACCTGGAGCCGCAGCTGAGCCATGTCCCTCATTAAACGGTTTCGACGAGCCTCTTCTTCAGCCTGGAGATCAACATGAAAATACAGTTTTAATTCCAGCTCATTAATCACATGTTCTTCTCTTCTGCACATTCTTTTGGGTCAGCAGTTACACAACATCACCACCTCCTCTTTCTAAACAGCACAGGGGTTTCATGAATGAGTCTCAGCTGGATCCAGACCACCTGTGGTCCTGCTCGGTTATTGTTCGGATGCCACTCACCATTCGGAACTGGGCCTTGGCCTGCTGCACCAGATTGTCCTGCTCGGACTGGCTGATGCTGGTGAAGATGCCCGCCTCCGGGTTGAAGTGCAGCACGTTGCCCTGGAGATTTGTCAGGAAGTGACCAAAACTGCGGATGCAGCACACTCGCACCACGCACTGGAGGACAGAGACAGAGGGAAATATTCGACGCTTTAGATTCTGCACCTTTATTATCTTTCAGCTCATCGTGTTGATTGAACACCTGGATATTTTTTTTCATGCACCTTTCTCCTCTTTCGTCTGTTGGAAGGGGAGCCACTTAAATGTGATCTGCTCCTCCCAAGTGCACCTTATAGTGCGAAAAATAGGGTAGTCTTGTGCACGATAAGACGCAGCAAACAATATTCTGCACAAAAATACAAGGCCTTTTAAATAAATTATTATTTTTTCATTATTATCATTATTTTTATTATTTTATTTTTTATTATTTCACGAACATCCTGGAAAAACAAATCCATCTTTACAACGTCATAAAATTAAAGAGATGTAAAAACAACAGCCGCAACTTCAGAAGCGGAAGTCTGAGCAGTGAGAATACAACGGTGCGCTATGTAGTGTCGGAAACCTGCGGTGACTGAGTTCACGACATCGTCAGCTTTATAGTGAAACCCCATATAGGGGTTAGGGATTGAGTGATTCATTTCGGACACAGCCAATATACTTTTTTCTCTGCACATATAGTCATGACCTGAGTGTGAAGGGACCGTTTAGGAAGTGAGAAAAGATGCTGTAAAAATACTCGATAATCTCAGCGGGGGTGTGTGCAGAGCATAAATGATGTTACTGATTTATACCATCAGTTAAAACAATCTGAATCTTACTCCTGCGTGTAAAATTTCAAAGTTACTCAAGTGGAATATTTTCATCCTCTTTCCATCTGTTGATTGCTCGTTAATTACAGTTATGTAATAATTTTTTAATCTATTAAATGGGGAAAACAGCATGAACAGGTTCTTGAATCCATAACAGTACTTGTTTGTGTATTTGGATCACTTTCACAAAACTCAGAGAGAAAAGATTAACCCAAAAGCAGAATAATGAGGTGAGTTTCAAATCTGCTTTCAGGTTTTCCTCATAGTGGGATCAGTGAACCTCCAGTCTGCTCTGTAAACCCGCTGAGGTCGATTATGAGTTTAAGAACTTCTGCATGACTGTGTGAGCGTGTGTGTGTGTGTGTTATAGGTGTGAGTGAGTACCTCCTGTAAGGGGCTGAGGGAGGAGTTGCGGCGGCTGAAATCCAGGCGGCGGTGAGCAACATGCAGAGCAGGCAGGTGTCTCAGGGCCAGGTCTTCAGGCAGCAGCAGAGTCTGGACCAGACCGGGCTGCTCGCACTCGTTTATGAGCTCTGTCACCTCAGAGTTCAGGCCCAGGTCTGCAGAGGACAAACACATGTGCATGTTAATGAGCTGGCTTTTTTTTTATCCTTTTATTTTGTATTTTACCCATTTATCTCATGAATATGTTTACTTTGTACTATTGATGCTGCTGTTTATTTAATCAAATTTTTTTTTTTCTTCCCTGTAATCGTCCAAATTCAATGTTTCCCCTGGGATGAGGGTGGGGGCAACAGGTGTGGATAAGTGGAAATAAAACAAAATTAAAAGTTGATCACAAAAAAAAAAAATGTTGACGGGTTGGAAACTCAGAGCAGAGTCGGAGCGGGGAGAGAAACCACAGTTCAGCCAAAGTCGCACACTTTTTAAATCATGAATTTATCGTCCATCTGTGAAATAAAAACGCTGATATTGATAATCAGCAAAATCCTAAATATCAGTTTGAGAACTGGCCAAATGTAACGCACCAGAGCACCGATGTCACGCCAATTTGTGTGCGTACAAAGGTAAAGTGATGGCTGGAATTTCTGTGTTTCAGAGGCGACAGATTCAGTAAACGTCAGAGTGTGCATGTTTTCCTTTTCTTTCTTCTTCTTCTTTCTTTTAAAGCTGGACTGTGTAATTTTCCTGGACACTTTAGTAACAGAAACACTCAGACTCCTGATTAAATGAAGATGAAATTAAACATACAGTCATGTTAAAGAAGCACAAAGAGAGAAAGAGGGTTCATCTTTCTGATCACTTCAAAGTGGTTCGAGTTTTTCTTCACCGATCAGAAGAAAAAACTGCTGTGCCATTCTGCTTCACATGAGTATAAATATCTCTGCGCTGCAGTCGGCCAGGAACTCACCAGCCTCCAGCATCTTGCTGCCATCTGGAAGCAGGTTGAGCAGCACAGACAGACGGTTCCACAGACTCTGAGAGCTCTGCAGAGAAGAGAAACTCTGAGTTATTATCAAACCCTTGAGAAGATCGACAGTGTCAGCGCTAAAGCCTGATGGTTCGGTTCACCTCACCTGTGCACACATGAGAATGATGTCTGTGTTTGTCCTCAGCCAATCAATAAAGACCTTCACCACCTGGATCAAGCCCTGATTGGTCAGGATCTCCAGCTTCTCTAGCAGGGTTTTCTCACTGTGTTCGGACTGAGCGCTGTGTTGGCTGCCTTCAGAGTCAGAGTCCAGGTCTAAAGAGAAACAAAGAGGACTGGTTTGAACACGGAGACACTTTCATTTCACATCTGAATAAACAAAGATCAGCTGATCAAAAGCTCTGAGTTCTGGTTTTTCACTCTGCCGGGCTCACGAGGCTCTCAGGGAGTCGACTCCAAACAGCTGCTGATACTTTAGGTTCAGATTTCCTTTTAAGGAAACACAAGCTTGTGTTTAGTATTGTATACATTTACCCATGATCCTTCAGTCATAAATCACAGATTCCATACAAACACATGGTCTTTACTGCAGCATGCACTCGTACTTGGACCTGATCCGGGGTCTGTGCAGGTCTACATGTAAACAGGAAAGGCTTGACACTTTCTTTTTAGAGAATTCATGTTGCTCCTAAGTTAAAAAAGTAAGGAGTACACAAAGAATTTAGGGTCACGATCAAATAATGTTTGTTTTATTGGTCGACTTAAGTCCTGTAGGTTCCTAAACAATGAATCCATGAGATTGACGCTCTCATCCTTCATCATCCCTTAACAAGCTAAAAAGAACTCCACAGGATCCTCTCGTTCGTTTTTTTGGGTTTATTCCCAAAACTAAAAACAAAACGATAAACTCGTCCAGCATGACTACATAAACATATAAGTGCGCAACATGCAGAATAAAAGGAGAGTGAGTGAGCGAACGAGCAAGGTCAAAAAACTGTGTGGTTCCACTCCATGATGCCTGACGTAACCGCACTCTCGGGTCGACTACGCACACAGATATCAATACCAACAAACACTTGAGATGTGATTTTATCTGACCTAAAACTAACTTCAGCGCTGTATTTACATGAAAACGCATTTGTTGCCTCGGCTGTTTTTCTTTATGTGCAAATAATAATAATAATAATAATAATAACTTCATTTAACACTTTTAAAAAACAAATGTTTACAAAGTGCTTTGACATGTAGTCATAGAGCACATGGAAAAATACAGATAAAAACAAAAAGCTCAGTAAAAACGGAACTGAAGGTCATTTTCATGTCATAAAGAACCCAGACGATACAAGAACCATGCAACAAAAAATGAGACCATGAGGACCGAAAGCGGGAACAGGACAGTAAATATAAAAGGCAATATCAACAATGATAATAAAATAATAACAGGTCATACTGATAATGATAGTAATCATAAAATAGAGCAACAGAAACGAGGAAGAGATAAAACAATAAAAGGCCTAAATGGTTCATTAAGAAGAGAGAACAAGTTTAACAAAAGCTAAAAAGACAGTAAAGCCGACATAAGATACAAGAGATAAGAGATGACAGATAAAAGATAAAAGACAGCGTCACGTAAAATCAAGTCTGTAAAATTAAGTTTTTAAATTTGACTTAAAAGAAGCGACTGTCTCTGCTGTACGCCTTATCTCCTCTGGCAGGTCATTCCAAAGTCGAGGAGCTCTGATGGAGAAAGATCGATCTCCTTTAGTTTTGAGCCTCGACTTTGGAACGACCAGTGTATTTAGGGGAACGACATGAACCCCTAAATACATTTTATGATTCGCACACGTCTATTTTTAGTCATAAATGCAGGTGAAACGGTCGAGCCCTGACAGGATGACAGACACTCAGACTACAGACGAGGATTTTAGAGAAAAGTGTGATGGTTACCGTTTTCGTTGGTTCCATTAGCAGTACCAGGGTTCAGGTCGCAGGGGGACTCCCCAGGAGGAGGAGGGGTCTCTTGTGAGGGCGGGGCAGAGGAGTCCGTCGGGGTGGGGATCCCCGAGGACGATGAAGCTTGAGGCCTCAGTAACATGTTGCTGAAGGTGGGAGCGAGGCGGAAACAGCGCTTCGCCTGGAAGAGCTGCGAGGACATGGCCTGCAGGTTACTGCTGATGCTGGCGTCGTTGGGCATGAGCGGCCCGTTCGTGGCGGGAGGCGTGTCCCCGTCCCTGTCCCCTCCTTCCTCCTTGTGTTGGTCGTCTTCATCCTCTTCCTCCTGATGCTCCCGCGCCTGACCCTCCGTGTTGTCGGAGTTTTCCGCGTCCTCCATGTCTTCCAGGTCCGATCGGGACTCCTGGCTGTTCATGTCCGAGTCTGTCTCCACGTCGAACGCCGTTCCTCCTTCCTCCTCCTCCTCTTCCTCTGAGCCGCTCCCCCAGCTGCCCTCCTCGCCCAGGATGTCTCGTTTGGTCTGCTTCCTGACTGATGGAGGATTGGGCGGGAGTCCGGCGGTGTTTCCGCCTGTTGATTCGGCGTGACCCCTCCTCTCCTCATCTTCATCCTCATCCTCCTCGCTCTCGAAGCCTTCACTCAGGTCGCTCTCGTCCTCTCCTTGAGTGTCCTTGCGTGCGCAGCGGCGTCGGCGCAGTCTGGACAGGCGGGTGTACTTCTTCTTCTGTCTCTGTTTGTCTTCCTCTATCTTGCGTTGTTCTTCCACGCTGCTGTGCTTTTTAACACCGACCCGTTCGCAGCCGTCTTCATCCTTCTCCTCTTCGTCGTCCTCTTGCTCCAGGGAGCCGTTCTGCAGAGGTTTGTCCTCGGAGCGATCTGTTGATGGAGCCGTCAAATCCCTCGTCTCCAAGTCATCTAGAAGAATAAGTCAGCATGGTGAATATTTCCACTTTTTGAACAAACATTAATTCAAATCACGTCTGTCAACAAAACTTTAAATTGATGTGGATTTAAAAAGCTGCAGTTTCTCCCAATAGACTTTTATTCCTAAACCACAAAGAAAACTCTCCGCTTTGATCTGAAAGGATGTTGCTGACGAGGATGATACAGGATCGCTGCATTGATCCGTGCGTCAGATACTGGCTGGGAAATTTGCAGTTTTGTGCTGACCGGTGAGGATTCTCTCTTTTAAAAGATTCAGTACATGAAGACGAGGGGTTGTCCTCTCTTACCTGCAGCGTCGGTGTGAAGCGGAGGCACCTGGCTCTCCGCTTCCTCCAGTTCAGCCTGCAGCCGGATGTTGACGTGATTCACCAGGTGGGAGAAGAGCGCCAGAGTGAAAGCGATGGATGCGCTGTACTGCTTTGATCCTGGAAACACGAGATCAGTGAGACGTTTTTAATTTTCTCTAAAGTTTGAATGAAACTGAAAGCCTTTAATTTTTTTACTTAATACATGCAGACATAAGGGCATAATGGGATGATTGAATGAAGCAGAAAAACCTTATATTGTTCCAAAATATACATTTAGGTCAATATTTGATTGGTGTGCTTGAAATATATCAGTACCAACTCTGAGGTTGGACAATCTTTAAAAGGAAATGAAAGTACAGAAGAGCTAAAGACAGGAGATCCTCTTTCATTTGTCCTCAGACACGACAAACAAGTTTCTTTCTCAGCTCTGAGAGGTCACACTAACTACATGTTTTTGTTGATATCTGTTAAATTCATCCGAGCATCTGTGGATCAAGTCCAAGAGTCCAAAGAATCGAGGACTCCTGAATCTGGAGGTTTACTGCACTTTACTTCGTCCACTTTTTGCTCTCTCTGATAGACGGCAGTAAAAGTGAAGTGAGACAGACAAACAGAAAGAAGTGAGAGAGTGACAACAGAGTCTGAACACTTTATCTTTAAGATGTTTGTGTCTGAAAAGTCAGCCTATAGTTTCAGCCTCCTACTGAATACGTGTATTCAACAAAGGCGGAGTAAGAGCGTGAATCTTTAACTTAACGTGAAATGGATTTATGTTGGAAAAAGAACGATTTTTTTAGCAAAATATAAAAACAATAAACGTATCTTTAAAAATAGCTGAGAAAGCTGTAATTTTCAGACAAAGTTGACATCATGTAAGACAGACTAACCTGTAAGCATCAAATCATTTTAAGAAAAACCTTTTTTTTATTTGTCATTATTGACACTGCTCTCAAAAATTCTGCATGGCTCGTTCTTGAAAAAAGTCAACATGATTTTAAACCCCGATATAAATTTATTAATAAATAATAATAAAATAAAAATAATTACAGGGGGGAGACTTTTTTTCCATTTCCATTTTGAGATTGAAGTCGAAATTTAAAAAAGTCCTTCTATTCTAACCTGTTATTTAAGATGAGAGTTGTTAAAATCAGAGCCATGGAGCATTTCATGAAAATGTAAATTAATATAAGTTTCTCAAACAAGGAGATACTTCATCTTTTGGCACATCAGCTCCACATTATCATAGTATTATGATGATTTTAAAACAACTTTATTCTCATAATTTAAAGACATTAATCCAGAATTTTTAATTATTTTTTTTCTTAATGTGACCCTAATATTCCATCATAGTTTTCACCTTTATAGCCTGGATGAATTTCTATAAAGTTGTTTTATTCTTGGTGACAAACATGAGACAACTTTAGAGGATTTTTGAGTCCAGATAATTTGGCGAGTTCACAGCAGAACAGAAATACAGTAAAAGTCTGACTCATGTTCTTCTTATTTACTCATAATTTCACTCCTGATTGAATCTCGACTCGAGGACGATAAAAATGTATGTTTGTTCATGTTCATACTGACCTCCTCTCTTCAGACTGTGCACCACCATCAGACACGTGACCACCATCTTGAAGATGAGCGTGTCGGGCAGCACGGGGCAGGAGCTGTCGCTGTGCTGCGGCTCTTCCTCTTCCTCGCTGGGGGAGTGGTGAGCGCCGCCGTGTGTCGGCGGCGGCAGGTAGAAAAGCACCAGGTTGAAGTCCTCGAGCACCGACTGACAGAGGGAGGTCAGCTCCGTCTCCATTAAACTACAGAGAGAAAAGAGAGTTTACAAGGATGTGAGAAATGAGAGGGAGGAGGCAGGGTGAGCGGGTTCATTTGTATTTACCTTTTACACCTGAGCCACATTTAAAAGGTAATTTCACCGTTTTACAGCAGGAACACATTAACCTTTGTTCACTCTTCACTTAATTCAATATTTAACTGAGATATCGCTGCTGCAGGTAAGAGATCCAGAGTAAACACGCCCATAAAAAGTCAAAGATTAAAAAATATGATGAAGACAAACGTCTTTATTGTCCCGGGTTCAAAAGCCTCCGTGTGTGTTTACCTGTTCTTGGGCTGCAGCAGACTCTGAAGGTACATGAAGCTCACCAGGAGACGCTTGATGTCTTTTGATCTGCAGACAGGAAGTAAGAACAAAAATCATAAATAATGGAGTTAACCCAGATCCAGATTTTAGGTTATAAATGTGCTGAGCTTATATCAACAATATTTTCACATACGTTTCTATTCATTCAGGTTACATGATTGATGCACATGATATTTACTGCAAACGAACTATTAAAAAAACATATGACAACGCTGCTTCAGACGGAAACATCAAACACAAGCACAGATTTGGTCGGGAATCGGTTCATCTTATACTTGCACTTTGCTCAGAGGAGCTTCATGATAGTGAATATATCCTATAATCTTAAATTAAATACACCTTGACATGCAAAACTTCTTTTAGATGCCATAATGGACAAGAAACACGACCAGTACCTGAGTTATTACATAATCAATACAGCTAATAAAGAACTGTGCGAGTATCTTCGTTTCCAAATATCATCTCTGGATGTTTTCAGTCTGATTTGCATTATTAACCCTGAACTCTAAGTTTTCTGGCATGTTGTGACCTGCAGAGTAATCACAGTGAATCCTCGTTATCTTAGGAGGAGAGCTGATGTCTCGTACAGTAAAACGGTTCACGGCAGATATCGTGGAAACACATCAGTGACATTAAGTTTGTCTGGACCAGCCTGAGAAGTTTTGACCTGCAGACATCAGAGGAGCAGAAGTTGCAGGTTAAAACACTGATCTGAATTATCTTCAGGTGTTTTTTCTCCTACAGGACAGGATCTATATATTTTAAAGGTTGGTGAGCTTTCCCTTTCTTTGTTTCCTCTCTAATTCTCAGAACTTGACCAGCTGCAATAATCCGTTTTCCCTCGCAGGGATCATCAATTATCTGTTCCCGTCTGCAGAGATGCTGCTTAACCCCACCGCCGCCGCTCAGACTCCCTCTGAGACTTACAGGAAGGAAACGCACGTTGGTAATTGTGTGATTGTAGATCTGGATCTGATGTCCAGAGGGTTTGTGATCGAGGGCGACAACAGAAGGATTTGTGTTAGTCCTGAAAATTAAATCAAACTCGAAGGATCGTGCCGCGTTTGTTTACCAACTACACATGAACTCAAAGTGGGGTTAAAAATCCGACCCTCCTCAGTCCACCTCACCTTTGTCGAGACGGAGACAACTTCTTCATTTCCTGCTTTTTCACTTGGTGGTACATCTTGGCAGCTTTGTCGAACAGGCGCTTCAGGTTGCCGTAGGCGCCCTCGAAGGGGGCGTCTGATTGGATACTGGAGCAGATTAAAACCCTTGTGAAAACTGTGCGCTCATTAACTCGTGGTTTGATCATTGAAATATCCTCGCAGGTCTTACCAGCGTAGGTAGTAGTAGGTTGCTTCCACGTTGTAGAACTTGCTCCCCGCCAGCGTTCCCAGTTGGTTAAAAGGCATTCCTGAGGACAGATCAGCGAGGAAACGGATCAACAACAACAAACCAGCTTTCATTTTTGGAGCTGCTAAATACGGAGCGAGGATTATCAGCCAGTTTTTTTTCCTGCTTCGTTTGAAAAGTCGCGTTCATGCGAGCCAAGAAGTTGTCCCGCCAGGAGCCAAAATCTGAGACGACAAAAGAACTCCAGAAGAGCTTTTGTAAAACGGATTTCAGCTTCAGCTCCAAATAAATCAATTAAAGTGTTGTTAACAAATCGAACATCAACACCAACATGTCATGTCACAAAAACAATAAAAACAAACATTATTACAGGGAAGACATGAAGGATGTCAGCCTCAATATACACACGGGTACGGCCGCATTTCTAAGTCAACTCGAGGTATTCTGACCAAACTGCTTTTTCCTGCTGTTTCAAAAACCTCCTTCTGACCCCGTCACCTCAACTCATCACGACACAAATCCTCACATTATTGAAATAACTCTCAGGCGTGAAAAAGGGCGCAGAAATCATGAACAGATGTGACATTTTCAAGGGGACTGGATGGGTATTTACTGCATGAATCGGGGTCTAACAAAAATGCTTTGCAAAAAAGTACAGGAGCTCTCTGATTGGAGGAATTTCAAGGTCTTTGCTCGTATATTTAGTGATATATCTTATAATGTGATCAGCTTTCATACTCTAATGGAGAAGTGAGGCTGTAGATACTTCCTCCAGAGTTTTTAGAGGCTGTTTTTGCCGAATCATTTCTCATATTAGTTTCATGTTTTCATGCTTCCATGTGTCACGTCTAAATCCTCTCTCTGTTCCCTTTCACCGCTAACTCTTCATCTCTGACAGCAGGAAGGACGGGCACATACAGGACGATTCCTGTTTCCACTTTTCTCCTTGTGATACCATGATTCTGACGATAAACGGTGCATTCCAGTTGTACTCAGAAGTCAGGATTTCTGAGCTCTGAGTCGGAACTTGAACTGGAACGACCCCCGAGGTCGGACGATCCACACAACCCCTTCATTGACATTTAGCTCCTGTAATGATGTTTTTATTAAAACTTTTTACTATTTGTCGTCACAGTAAGTCAGCCGTATACAACAGTATTGTTAAATGTATATATATGGAAATGCTGTCATCGTGTAATTTACATTTTTCATGTGTATATGGAACTACAAAGCTGGCTGTGCTAACAACAGCTCACCGTAGCCTGGTAGTTTCAGTCGCTGTTTTTGGCCGTTGGCGACTTTTTTCCGACTTTGTAACTAAAATGGTAAAAACTCGGTAGTGACGTCATTCCCAGCTCCGACTTCTGAGGTAAATGGAACGAACCAAAAGTCCGGTATCTCGTTTTCTTTTCGATGACACTCACCTACGTGTGGCATGACAGACAGGGCTTGATGGTAAAACCGTTCTGCCAGCTGCTCCGCCTCCACTCCTGCGAGTTCGTTTTGATAACGAGCTGCAGAGGAAACACAAAAAAGTCCAAGTTTTAAAACGAGCCTTCGTTAAAATATCTCCAAACCGATCTGAAAGCATGTGTTCCTAATATGCCGTATATACAGGCCAAAATTTCCCACGTGTAATTACACACATGCTGTCTGAGATCACTGTTGAATCTATTATTATGTTGTTACCCAGATCTCCGAGGTAGACCAGACAGCGATGACAGGCCATCTGTGCCCACTCCATCTCCTTCGGGGTGGCTGACACCGGTTTCTTTCGCCCTGTGGGGAACAATTACACAACGCCCTCCTCAGTTTGAGTATTTAGCTCATGTACTTGACCCAAAACGTCTCAGAATTACCCAACAGGTGAACAGGTTTAAATCCCAGCAGAGAAACAGAAACACTGAGAACATTTTGAGGCTGATTTTCTGACTCTGTCCAAAGTGAACCAGGATCCCTCCTCCAAACTAAACCAGGTTTAGGGTCAAAATGTGAGCCAGAGTCAAACCAAATCCAGGCTGAGGATAAGACCTTGCACCTGTCAGTTTGTCTCTGCTGACAATACTCTGACTTGGCATGTCTCCACCTATCTGTCGGATCTACGTGGTCCACAGAAACCCTGAAACCAGACCTGAGCTGTATTCAGACAATAGACATTTTAACACCTGCTGGGCTAAAACTGTTGAACAGCAGCTGTGAACGAGGTCAGTCTGACTGCCGGTGAACTTTTATTATTGACCTACAGAGTTTGGAAACCTTCAGAATAACTTGTGTAACAGGATTAATACTCAGTTCACAAGATATGCTTTCAAAGGTCAGCTACGGTCGGTGAAATAAGGTCGAGTTCTCCTCTGAGAAGAGTTTATTAAAACTGTGTAAATGTCCTCAAACAGTTCATTCAAATAGATAAGATACTCCTTTATTAGTCCCACGAGGGGAAATTCCCAAATAGAGGTGGGACTTTTTTTCTTCAGTCAAAAATAATCAGGATTTTAAATGATATGATTTCACGTCTTTGTCTGTGTGAGTTTTTCTTCCGCTCACCGATCAGAGGGTCTGTGACATGGGTCCAGTCGATGCAGTCCTGCAGCTCCAGCTGGTAGTGCGACTGGATGTAGAGCAGCAGGTGTTGGTAGAAACCAACCCCGGCTATCAGGTGTGTTCGGTAGGCACACTCCAGAGCGCTGCGACTGTGGATGTGCTGCAGAGTGAGAGGAGGGAGAGGGGATGGAGGTGAGCTAAGAAGATATAAGAAAAGACTCACTGCTGTGAATTATGGCAAAAAAAAACATAATCATGACTGTTTTTAACAAATATCAGATATTGTCAAATATTTAAGATATATCAGAGTAGGGCTGTCATGATTAGGAATTTCTGGAGTCGATTATTTGTCAGACAAATAATTGCAATTGATGAATATATTGTATATTTTATTAAATAATAGATTCCCCAAGAGCCAGTTGACGGGATAAACCAGCTGCTGTTGGACCGGCTGCTGATTGTGCTGGTGTGGTCTTCCTGAGTTCAGCACATTGCTGTGGATGGTGGGTGTGGAGATGTTGTTTCAGATTTGTTGTGTTAGCGCTCTTGACCGACACTTTTTTTATGGCAAAGTTTACATATCGCTTCCTCCACGTTACCAGGCTCTCCCTTATCGTTCGGTTTAAATCTGAAATGCACCCACAGCAGTGCTCTAGTATGTGGATTTGGATCCAGAACCTCCTCATCCTCCATCTTAACCTTGAGTCGCTGCCCATCCGACCAAGACGAGAGCTAAACAACGTGTGGCTACGATGGAGATGGGGCGTGCTACGGCTGCTGGTACAACATGATGACGTTGGACTCAAAGATTATTTGCGCAACCTTGTAGATAAAATAAATAATTGACGGTGATCACGAATATGAGAAATAATCGCAGTTGGTGAATATTGTAATAATCGCGGCTGCCTTACACCAGAGTCTGGTTGAGAGTGTTTCACTGACATAGATTCAGGCAGACGGTGATTCAGATACTCTTTCGGACTAAACAGTCAGTATTTTTATTTGTAGTAGATAATGTAAGCATTCAAGCTTTAAATATTTTTACTTTTGCTCCTTCAGACAAGAAGGAAACACAACATATCTGGAAAACAAGAGGCTAAAAACTTTCTTTAAAGAGTTTTTCTTCTCATCTGAAAACAGTCTGACGTTTTTAGGAGGCATGACAATAAAGGAAAAGGCTGCACTGCATTTATAACACAAAAAAAGTCTAAATTTAAAGCACGTTACAGACTAAAGGTGCTGAAGTGAAGCCCTGCAATACATAACAGCTGCTACTAATGAAAGCAGGGATGTTTTTATAAGACATACAGACAGATTTTCTGATGAGTTAAGCCGGCATGTAACTGTGGCGTCTAAGCGTCTGACTGACACCTGATCGTGTGGGCGTGTTCATTTCTCTCACTAAGAACAGGCATGCAGAAAACGGGACACTGTCACAGGAATCCTCTGTTCTGTTTTGATGTAATTATGCTTCAAAAAAGTGAAAATCAACAAAAAATAAATGTCATTTTTAAGCTCAAAAGCGTTTCGATCACATCAGGGTAAAAGTTTGAACTTTGAAAGTTTCCCTCTTGTTGGTCCAGCAGCAGAACTAAGTGACATTTTCATGGGTCTGACCTCCTCTGGGACCACCCATGTATAACATATGAACACTCCGGTACTCTACCAGGACCGATACGAGCCGCTGATCACAGGGTGGAAAATGTCAAAGTACAATTGACCTTTGTCAAAGCCAGGATGTCAAACCAGCCGACAAAGTAGAGAGCCGACAAATGTAAGAGTGACTTTCTTTTCCTCCACAGTCTCAGCAGAGCCGTCTACCTTCTTGTTGGTCTTGATAACCTGGATGACCTCATAGTAGACCTTCCTCCAGAGCAGCTCCTCAGCCTTACGGCCGTAGTCAACAGGGTGGAGGAACATCAGCTTCACACAGAGCTCCCTCAGCCTGAAGACAGAAACACACATGAGGGAGTCAAACGGAGGTTCAGGCGTCAACCATGAAAACAGACAATATTTAAAAGTGAGGTCTCCTTCACTGGATCAGAAACATCAGAGGATTCTGGTAGAACGGGTCAAACACAAATACAAGAGTCTTCTGTCCTCCTGTGACTCACATGGGCTGTGTGAAATGATTCAGTCATCAGAGACGTTCACTGTAATGTTGTGAAATCTCAGTCCTCACTCTGTGCGTGTGTGTGTGTGTGTGTGTGTGTGTGTGTGTGTGTGTGTGTGTGTGTGTGTGTGTGTGTGTGTGTCCAAAGGCGAGATAATGTTAACACTGATGGGCGAGTACACGCAGTCCTTCTCACCGTCTCCTCTTCGAAGACACTCACCACTGCTCTTCTCTTTCTTAAAGCTCGAGGATAACACGACCCTCATTTTGTACTAAGAAGTGTGATTATCCCGTTTGCATCAAAGCAAATCTTTAACTACAGCTTTTAACCTTAACTTTGTCATACTGAAGAAACACGCTGCAGGTAAATGCACCTGACAAAATAAGAGGGAAAACAGCAGCAACACTTTTTATGATTTTGTGGCTTTGAAGTAAATACATAGTCCAGATAACAAAGAATAAAAACTGTTGGTAGACAAACCACCTATAACCGTCTCTGAGCGGGCTGAGATATCATCACCTCGTCTGACATGACATACAGTCAACCTCTCTCCAAAACTTCCTCTTTTCTGAACTGTCGGTTTATTCTATACGTTTAAAAATAACAACAGCAGCAGAAGTCGTTCTCATAGACCAGAAGTCTGAGACCAGGTTTCTACATTTATTCATGTTTGTGCATCTAAAGTCTTAGAGCTACAGCTGATGCTATGTCATGCTCCTCTTTCTCACACACTCACACACACACACACAGTGCCTCAGGCAGGTGGACGTACTTGTTGCGAAGGCTGATGTTCTCCGGCTTGAAGACCTCTCTGTAAGATGATTTGCTGCCGATGATGACATCCAGCTTGTGCACAGACTCCACCACAGCTCTGAGAAGCATTAGCAGACAGACAGGCAGCATTAGTATAATGACAACGTGAACACAAGAGTCCAAAACTGTTTATCTTCAGGGTTTTATGTTACGCAGGATGTTTCCTGTTACACCGAGCCTCATAAACACACATTAAATAACAGAACTAAGTTTAGACACAAAAGTCTAATATGAAACATTGAAATATGGTCCTAATTGATGAGACATTTTGCATCAATATTTTTCAGTATGTGGACTGAGTGGGTCTCAACATGCACACATGTGTGTTTCCAGCTGTAGTTACCACTTTCTAAATCTAATGTTGATGCTACATGTAAACAGAGAGTCCTGAAGTTTTTCTGAAACTCCCAGTTCCTCAACAATCTTTCTTTCTTTTATTCAGCTCTGACTTTCTCTCAGGGAGAAAATCTAAATCGGCCCCTGAGAAAAATTCCTGTTTACAGATCAAACTGCTGCAGAGAAAACCAGGATAAATTTGAATCCACTTTTTCTTGTAGTGATACAATAAACTACAAAAAATTTTAACTCTGTGAAAACTCATTCAGGTATGCAGACATCAGTGGAGGGTCCTGATTTTCGCATATTTAAGCATTTAATGAATAACTCGCTCGTGTGACCTTTATCTATCTATGTAATTTTAGCTCTTAATTACACTCCAGTATAAATGTTAGACCCACACCTAAAGCAATTAAAAAAAAAACAATAAGAGTGCCAGTCTCTGGGGAAATAGGTGTGGTGTCAAAGATTCAGATATCGATAAAATTGCAGAGAGTTCCAGAGAAGTCGAAGAGATTAGTGTGAAACTTCTTTTCAGGTAAAACGAGCTCATCCAGATCCAGATCGTAGACGCACATCCGTCTGACTAGAACATCCTCAGTTACAGGTTTGTCTCAAACCTCTATGACTGATGTGGACATGGAGGAATTAGTTCCCAGTGAAGCTTGAAATACCCATCTCTATAGGCATATAAATACGGGTGTACGCTCATTTATAGTTCTGTGCATGAAATAATGGAGTTACTTAGACCAAAAAAGATCATTTTAAATTTGTTTTATACATCAATTGTGGTTTATATGAGCTACAACATGAGGTCAAAAACCTAGCATTAAAGTCCACCATTTTATCTTAGAGGACTAATAAAGTCATGATAGTAGTTCAGGGGTAACTCAGAAAGTAAAGGAGTCTGATGAGAGGAGCAGAGTTTATGATCTTTTCATAAATACAGATCTGTGAATGTTCTGAATCACTTAAAGACATTCTCATGTTAAAATGACTTTTTAAAAACAGCTTTTTAGCAGATATATTCAATAATAATAAAAAAGAATTATTGTTCCAGTTGAATAGTGTGTAATAGATAAAAATACACATGAATGTGAAGAAGTGACTGTTATTAAGGGAGAGAAAGGTGAGGGAGGGCTGGGGTGGAGAAGGGATACGGCTCATCTTACCCCATACCTATGGTCAACTTACCCCCACCCTACTGACCATAGGAGACCACTTTTATTGTCATGCTATATTATCAAGATTACAGTTATGTTTACACTCATTCTGTTGGTTTGCAGGGATGAACAACATCTTGAAATATATGCAGATACACGAGTTAGAGACAAAACTATGATTGATTTGATGTAGTGATCCGAAATATGACAAATAGCTCATCTTAGCCCACTCTCCCCTACTTTCAAAGGTCTGTCTCTACAGTATAACAGACTCCAGTTCACCCACATCTGTCTCTAATGATGAATTTTCTGTATAATATTCACCTGTCTGATCGTGTCAATAATAACTACAGCTTTAAACAGCACCATTAGTGATAGAATGAATGCACTTGGCTGTATTAGATGGTCCTGGTCTTTATATTATGGTTGGTATAAATCATAAAAGTTGTTTTATTTGTTTCATGACATGTATGTAGGATGAGGTGATGTTATAACTCTTAAAAACGATCATATTAAAGTGATAATGAAACCCATCTGTGTGTGTGGTAAACCCCTCTCTCTGTTTCACTTCTCTCTAATTCAGCTCTCTGGGTTCTAAATGAACAGCCTGCCTGGTCTAACGCTCAGCTAGCATGTACAACACCGTCCAGTTAGCACCTGAGCTAACCTCCCCGGACGGCCTCCCTCCAAACTCACCTGTAAAGCCGCTTTATCAGAAGGACTTTGGCCTCTGGCTCGCTGTCCTGGCCCGGTCCGCTCATATTAGCTCGAAGCCCGTTTGTTGATCACTCGCTCCGGGGTCCGGTCACCGTCTCCCTCCGGGGAAACTCGGGTTTGATCCCCCGGCAGTAACAACCGTGTTGATAGCTGAGTTAGCTTTCCCCCCTCTCCTTTCAGAGTCTCTTTCGTTTCTTGTGTCTTTTGGCCAGACCCCCTCTACCCATCCGCCCTGAAGTCAGGGTTTGAGGGGGTGCCCGGTTGTGCCCGCTCCTCCTGGTCAGCTGTATCGCTCTAATATTCCTCTGCTGTTGTTCCCTGTTCCTGCCATTGCTGCGAAGGCGGCCATTATTCCTATCAGGCAGTGACCGCCTAAATATCGCGAGATTACAGAACGTACTCACACGCTTTAATCGCGGGTTGCCATGTGGTTCTACAAAACCCCCGTTTCCGTAAAATTTGAGCGATGACGCCCTCGCAAATTCAAGGAAAATAGTAATTAGACAAAAAATTAGACCCACAAAACGAACAGAGAAGACCACATTAATTCACATTCACACACATACCAAGACTTAGATGAACATATTTCCCTGTATTTACTCAACATACTGGCTTTGACACTTTTGTTAAGGATAAAATTTGATTTAGCTTCTTAAGTTTCTTTGATCAGATTGTTCCACAAACTTATTCTTCTCACTGTAACACACAATCTTTCAGTTTAGTTCTGAATCTTGGCTTTTTAAATATTTCAAATCCTTTTAAATTATGACAACTTTCTCTTTTTTCAACAACATACTGACATATCGACTCAGGGGCTACATGGTCTAACCAAATGACACATTGAAAAGTTTAAGAAGCAAAATTAAACAATAACCTCTCTATTAACTTCTTTGCTCGTCTTCTCGCCGTCGTCTTCTGTGCCTAGATCATAAAACAACTGGTGCATCATCATTATTGGTCCCAAGCAGATCACTTCCATTGTGTTTTTTTTATTTGCATCATTTTATCTTTGCAGTAAGAAACTTGTTTTTCCATCGCCACTATTTTTTTTTGCGTCATTAACTTCCATTGTGGCTTTTCTCTCTTTTTATTTGCAGCAGTGGCGGTTCTCGGCCACCGTAGGAAACACACACACACATATATGTTTTTGTGGCTATTTCTTCATTCTTCATTGGATAGGATATTTTTAAATACCCCTCCAGTAGATTATATAAAGAGGGCTGACTTGATGGCCTCCTAGGGAATCAAACTTGGAAAGATGTCCTCCTAATTTTACATGTTTGGTTGCCATGCAAGTTAGTTTTGAGTTAAGTTTAATACTCCAGAGAGTAATTTCTTTTAATCCAAGTATTAAATCAGTCCATTTTATTATTCAATTTACATTGAAAAAACAACAAGAGCAAATCCTGTGTGGAGCTTCAGTTTGGCACCCCCCTGTCGACAAAGATATCAAATCTTGATGCTCATTTTGTCGTGATAAAGGTGCACAGTCATGTAGTGATTTCTGGCCAAAGGGAAAGAAAGGTCTCAACATGCTTTGACATTAAAATAGATCACTAACTGTGAGTATCTCTTGGTATGTTGAGCCTGTTTCGGTGTTTGTTTTTTCGCTTCTGCCACATTGAGAACATGAGGTACGATCATCTGACAGCAGGACGTCTGTCATCTTTGTCATACTTAAAAAGATATGATGGTAACGATCAGCTCTTTTCACCTCCCAGTTTTGCATGTGTATTCTCACCACTTCCCTTTCTCCCCTTCCACATATTATTCTAACAAAAGACTTGGAGTAAAAGTAATGATGGCAGAAAACTATTAATAAGATTTGTTTCCCCCATGGCACAGTGGTCATAGTCAGTGCAAACTTTGTTATTGTAATTCCACCTAGTGGCCACTAGAGGTCTATAAAGATCATCAGTTTTTCATTATTTTACAGCCCTTGTTTGCATGATGCATTCAAAGAAACAAAAGGGCAATTTGGGATTACTTCCCCCCTTTGAAAGTGTATTTTTAGTTTTTCTTTCCTTTCTTTTAAGACACTGGTGTAAAGGATGATGTTGGAGAGGTGTAGTGTGGGAGAAACGGAGAAATCTAATGAGTATTGGTGATGTTTTCACATATAAAGCTGTCATGTAATCTGTCTGGGGTAAAATGCATTTTTGGAGAGATTTTATAATAGCAGACATGTCATTGCAACATGAATTTTCTTCAGGCTGAGAATCTTCATGATTATAACAAAGTCTGGGGCGGGTGAAGTGGATGCCTCCGCTCTGTTAAGAAAGCCTGAATCCTCTAGTCCTTCTCTGTTGTGTTAATTTTTCCTCCCCTGCTCCGTCCAGGCTCAAAAGTTACCAACCCACCAAGGAGCTGCAGGCGATTAAGTGTAGGAGGATGAGGATAATTACAAGCTTGCTATATTCAGTCAGGTCCCCAGCTCCCAGATCCCTGCCTTCTATCCACACTTTTAGCAGCTAAGCCGGACAGAGAGAGAAGAAACGCTCAGTTCAACATTAAAAGACTTACAAGCCTGAGATCATGCAGAGAACTGCAGACACAGAGGAGCAACACTGTGATGCAACCACTGGCTGTCTAGCTTCATCATGTAATCAGTTCTTCTCTTGTTGGCATTGGAATAATTGTTAAAACACATGTAAACCTTTAGCTATCCATACACAGTAAGGTCACAGAAGTCAAGAGCCAACTGGACATTGTGTTCGTCATTGAGCTGGTGGATTAAAGCTTAGTTAAAAGAATCTCTGCTCCTCGCTTTTCACATCATTTTTAATCAAACATTTTGGGCTTTAGCGATTTTAGTTTGGTAAAACCAGCAATAAGAAGATTTCAAATTATGTTTTTACCCATTAGTATGGTTTCTGGATTCTCAGGGTTGCTTTTGTAGTGTCTCATGCTATAGAAAGTTCAAAAGGAAGCAGAGGTTAATAACGGGGTTAACCACTAGGATTGGACTCTGGTGGGGTTGGAGTTACCAAATATTACATGAACCCTAGCCATGACCTTTTCTGACTCTAACCAATAGTTATATTGCTTAAATTGCCCCAAACTGAAACTCTGTCTTATCTATTTGGTCAAATTTTGGTTAGATTGGGGCACAAAAACTCAGCTACACCACTGAGGATGATGATTTGATTGAGTCTGGAATGATTAAAACACAAAACTCCAACAATTTTCCACTAAATGAAGACAAAAATTAGGGCTACATGCAAAATAAATTTCTACCATTTACATGTAGGCACAGCCCAGTGGTTTTGAATTAGCATATTATTCCATAAATTTGTGTCTTTGTTGGATTATGTAATATTTATTTGTAAATGTCAACAAAAGGAAACAAAAAGGGAACATGTTTCTTGCACAGACACTGTAGTTTCCATCCAACATAAGGAGTCATGGACCAACTCATTAAGGCTGTGGATTAGTCTGATACACTGCTTGTGCTCTATTCATTATTTATGGCAGCTGGTGTTGTTGAGTGAGATAATTATGATGCAGAAATAAACTACTGTATATCAGTGAGAAAGTTTTCAAAGTTTAGACTGCTCAAACAGTTATTTATGGATGGATAGGAGTATCTTTAAGGGGGGTAACTCACCAATATTTGGTAATCCAGCTGTTTGGACAGAGCAGGAAACGATAACTCTGATTCACACTGTCTCTCCAAATCATACCAGCCCCATAAGCTACTGAATTGGAGGAATTAGCCTTATTAGCTCGTTAGCATTTTGTTAGCTTAGCAAGTACGTCCTTAAACTCTCTCTGAAACCCACAGCAAACACGTTCAGCCTCAGGCTGGAAGTTTTCCGTGGACATATTTGGGTTGACAACCTACCGACCGGCTGTGGTTCCTCCTCTAACGGTAGAGTAGCGCGTCCGCCATATTGGTAAGGGCAGATTAGCTGTGTAAATGAATGCATGTAGCCATGGTACATTTAACACAGCTACATTTAACTCAATTTAATGAGTCGTTTTTACACAGCCCCATCAATAATTACATTTATCTGAGTACCTGACAACCATTCAGACAAAAAAAGTCAAATTCGTTAAACACTGGTTGCTAATTTTCTTTGATTTTTGCAGTAAAATGATAGGCAGCCTACATCATAACAAAAAATTCAGGATGGTATTTCACATTGAACACTATAGACTACATGTTAAAAAAAGAAAAAAAAAACATGCCCAGTATATTTTGTAAACTAGTTCATATTTTGTGAGATTGTTTTGATTATTTTGTGAGTGACTGAACAAGTAAAGGTATTTGTTTCATCCTCAAAATATGGGTAAAAAAGTAATGATAAAAATGATATTAAATGCATGAAACTAATTAAAACTTCAACATTGATTGTTTTTGTTTTTTCTTTTTACATTAAGCAGCAGTATGCCAAACAAAATCAACTGTTGATATGGCATTTTTAAAGTTGAATTTCAGTACCTCTGCCTAGAAACTCCAAGGCATCCAAGTGAATCCTACACTCTTTTAGCACAGCAAGGCCCGTAGGGACACTGTATAGACTAAAACATAGAAGTCATAATGAGTCATAATGAGACTGCCTGTTATGGTTATTCGACAGTTAAGAGTCATATTAAAGGCAGAAGCTCAGGAGGTAGAGCCGTTGGCCAATAACTGGAAGGTTGGCTGTTCGATTCCCCCCTATCCCTAGTCTGTCCGTCGTGTCCTTGGGCAAGACACTTAACCCACCTTGCTGCCAGTGTGTGTCCTCCACTGGTGTATGATTGTGAGTGTTGTGTGGTGGTGGTTGGAGAGGCAAACTGGCAGCCAGCCCCAGGGCAGCTGTGACTACTACGGTAGTTTACTACCACCAGGGTGTGACTGTGTGAGTGAATGAATGATGTATCCAATGTAAAGCGCTTTGAGGTCACTGACAAAAAGTGCTATAAAATCTGATGCATTATTATTATTATTATTAGCAGTATTTCTTTACCTTAGTCCCAACTCAGGGGTTGCAGCATTTGAAGGACCCAGCTTTGGTGCCCTGAATCGATGATCTATCACATAGCATTGGGTGGCTCA